TCCCTGTGTATATAGACACTACTGCTCAGTAGACCTGGTCCTGTCGCTCTTACAATCTTTGTGTTCCCTCTTCTGTGATGGTCTCCAAGCCTTAGGTGTACAAGTTGTGTTGTAGATGTTATCAGTTGGGTCTGGGCACCCATCATCATTTGTTCTCCGCATTTTTGACTAGTTGTAGATTCTGTGACAGTCTTGTACCCAACGAAAAAGAAGCTTTGTTGGTAAAGGTAAAAGATACACTTTCCTGTGGATATAAGAATGGGTATGGAATTTCTAATATGTCACTTAAAGCTTGTTCTAACAAAACACCAAATGACTGGAGGTAATGCAATTCTTCTACGCAAGGATATGACCATAAGTGCATATGTATGTATATACGTGTATGCATGCACATGTACATATGGTGCATCTACTTGTTCTGATTGACTGAATCTACATTGGGTTTTAAGTTACTTATCATTGAAGAGGTTCATGCTATAAACACCAATAGTTTGAATAAGCTTCTGACTCTGCCTCAAGTCTAGAGTTCATGAACACAAACTTTTGAGATTTTGTGTAGTGCATCAAAGCTGCCATGAAGTTTGAATGAAATTATACCAAAAAGTATTTGAGGATTGATATTTCTACTTTCTTAAGAACTTAGACAAGCTGTCATGAAAAACAGTAATTAAATCATAACAGAATTGCTAATATTATTATAGTATTGTATAATTATAAAATAGTCTGTATTTTACAGATTGTACACTTAGTGATTATACTTAACAATGCGCATTCTCATTTTCTTATGAGTCCTATAAAGTATTTTTCTTACAATTAACTGTTAAATGAAATTGAGGACTTTGCTTTATAACAAAATACTGGAAATTTATTATATAGTATCACTAGTCTAATTTGGAAGGGGGTACTTTCCCACTTTAGGAAACCTTCTAAAATATAAGTCAACTACCTGGAGTGGTATTTTCACACCTTAATTTGTAGTTTCTGTCTTTAAATTCCTGTCTATAAAATTAATTTCATCAAACAACTGTCCCATAAAACATTCAAACATTTTATCATCATATAGCCATAAATGACCTCTCCTCATGCAGTGGCTGAGACACTTGGTTTGGAGAAGTCTTTCTTTTCCTTATATAAGTTAACAATCCATTCTTATCCCCAAATTGCAACTGAGTATATATGACACACACACATTCAGAAAACAAATTTGGCTGAATATTTTACTTCTGTCCTGTGCTATACTTAAATAGTTTACCTATACCTAACTTTCTTGATGTAACACATTTTTAATAAAAGAATAAGCAAAATATGAAACAATTTAAGGGATTTTGGTCTGTTTACATGTTATGTATGACAGTCACATTAATCTATTTATGAAGAATGGTTTGTTTCTTGAGATGGAAAACACAGTTATAAACATGTATTTGGAATCATGCAGAGTTACTGAGGATCAGTAAAATTTGTATGGTCTGCTATAATAATTCATTCTGATGATGTGAGACTATGCTTTGTATGTATTCTTGAGATGAACATGAAATTAACCTTCCCTAATACTTCACTAGTACACGCCTTTGTACTTTTACTTACATAATTTTTTCTTTAATACTTTCACAGTATGTATATATTCAACTTGGGCAAGTATATAGCACAAATTATTAAATAAATACTAAATGAATGAGAAGTATGGTTTTTAAAAATAATTTTAATATACATACCCAATCAAGCATTCTATTTGGAACATATTTATATCTAATTTTATTGGAATCCATTGTGCTTTCCCACAAGAAATTGAAACTACAAAATTTGGAATCATAAAAGTACATCCTAATCATACTGAATTATTTTAATTCTATTTATATAAGTTTCACATGCAACATAAATTATATGTATATTTTCTATGCTTAAAATATTTTTCCATCTTTTACTTTTGCTTTCACTTTATCCAACAACAATTCTCCCTTCTCCCCTCAACCCACATCCCCTTCCCTTCTCCCTCTCACTCACTTCCCCCCTTACCTACCCCCAATCCACTCCTCCTCATGGTAAAACTCCCATGTGGAGTCAACATAGGCTGGCAAAATAGGTTAGGGCAGGGCCCGGCCCCTCTCATGCATTAAGACTGAGCATGGCATCCCACCATAGGGAATGGGCTCCAACAAACTAGCTCATGTACCAGGATTGTAATGTGGACCTACTGCCAGGGACCCCTCTTATAGTCCAAAGCTTAACAACTGTCTCCCACATATGGAAAGCCTAGTTTGGTTCCCTGGAGTCTCCACAATTGGAGGTCTAGAGTTCATGAATTTACACCAGCTTGGTTTAGTGTGTCTTTATAGATTTCAGCTTTATTGTGTATTGAAAATGCATTGTGTATGAAAATTCTTGCAGTGAAATCTTTGTGCTTACTATCTAAAGACCATATTAAAATCAGCCTGATTTTCCCTAGAAATGGGAAATGTCCCATAAAATAAGCTAAGAAATATAAAATGGCTTTGAGCATAGCTATATGGATTTTGGCTGCCAACCAATATAATTTATGGTTCTATATTAATGATAATAGTGAATTAGGTATTTGAGAGGTGAATATACAGTCAAATGTTTGTATGTATTCTACCAGCAAATTCATTGAATGTATCATCATTTTAAAGCTCTTCAACCCAGCAATCAATATCTTTAATCATCCACTAGTAAGCATAGAAAATATTTTTATCAGGAAGTAGTTTTTTTTAATATTTTGGGAGCAAGTTTTGTTGGAATTTTCTTAACCATCAATAACGGAAATGTAAATTACAAGGACAAATTGTAACATTTAAAAATTCAGCATCTCACAAACCCCATAATTATATGGGTAGAAAAAAAAAACAGATATAAAATTATTTGTTTTTTGTTACTTTTGCAAAGTTTTTAGAAAAATGGTGCAGTTTGATGCATGATCACAAAACATGTTTAGAATTCAAAGAGTTTTGGTATATTCTAAAGTAAAAAAAATTGCATGGTACAGTTACATCTTAATTTTCTAGTACTATTTAGTACATATCTGCAATACCATGTATCATCAAAGATTGCCAAAATGCATGTTTATAAAATCTGTAGCATTCACATAGAATAAGAGCTAGATAGGAATTGCTAGGCAGGCAAAGTCTTGTTTAGATAAATATCTGTCGATTGACTCTACCTACTACTTATGTGAAATACACAAGTAACTTATCTAACCTCTTATTTAAGAAGTTTTCTCCAAATAGCTTGTAGATAATAGAAAGCCAGTGATTAAAAGGGGTGTTTTCATAATTTGAGGAGTGTCCTTGTTGAATTTTACCCAAAACATCAGTTTTTTTTTTTTTTTTAGTCCTTTGCATTTGAGGACACTTTGCACAGAAATAGTCACTGCATATGAGTGTTTAGACTTATTTAGGAAAAGAGTGGCCAGAATAAAGCCAAGGCAATACAAGTGGAAGGGGCGGGCAGAGATCTTACCAGTGCAGAGATTTCTTAAAGTTGCAAACACATCAACGACTAAATTTTCCTGACAGAGTCTAAGCACTTCTGCGAATTTAAGTCTTAAAAGTTGGGTGAGAGATTAACAGCTTGGCGGGGCTTCTTACTAAAGATATGGGACTTGGGGAGAAACACTTATTAATAGCAATAACCATTTTTGTGAATAAATACTTGTGTTAGTATTTCACTATTCATGCTATATTTTGTTTTCTGAAAGGGACTGAAGATTGAAAATAAGCATGGGAAGTTCTACACACAGTAAATACAAAATACAAAAGTCCTTACTTTTGAAATTCATTATTATTTTTAAAATTGTGAAACCATTTCCACAACTGGAGGTGTTCTGTAGACAAGTTAGAAATTCATAAACTTTGATATTGGACCCTGTGCTTTCAAATACATGATTTTTGAGAGAGGTGTGGATCCCAGGTGAAGTGATATTTTAATATAATACTTCTTTATTGTCTCATTTCTAACATTAATACCTGTTCAGAATCTACCATCATCCCTATGAATATTTAAATGATAGTTTAATATTTATTGTAATGTTTATAACTTTTTTACCAACTCAACGGTGTGTAAAAGAAACCTGTAGAAAACACTGAATTGGAAACTACAGACTTCATACATTTTAGAAATTATGTGTATTTCATTTCTCCAATTCCCATATCTCTCATACCCAACAACAATAAAAATATTTTTATTGCTAAAATGAAAGTATAAGCCAAATGTGTTTTCCAGTAGTAGCTGTGTGTTTCTGGATATTTTATTCTCTTTGGAGATCCATTGAGTTAACCTGGTATATAAAATACATGAAGGACATTTGTTTCTGACTTCTTAAAATGTTGTTTTTGCGGGTCTTTTATTTTATACAAATACTGAAAACATTGCTCTTTCCTTTAACATTTTCTTTTCCTCTGAATTTTTTTGATGTTGTTGTCAAAGTAAAGATTAAAATATTTTCATTAAAATTAGAATAGATATTAAAGTAGATTCATGTGCATAGTGCTACACTGAAAACAATGCCATTTGCATGCATCTTTTTGATAAGTTATTCTTGGTAGTTTATCGTGAAGTATTAGGTATGTACATCATGTAATTTAATGAAGGATGATATATAACACCACATGACTTTAAACAATCAGGATGTTTCACAGGTGAGTTAGGGAGAGCTTAAATTTTAACATTTCTCTGCTAGTGGCTAAATTTTTTGCCACTAGATGGCAGGCTGTTGCCTGCTATGGAGTCTGTTAGGGCAGGGCGGGCAGGGAGGGAAAACCTTGTTTGTGGCTTTCACTCTTTTGTGTCAGTGTTTATGTATGACTGGTGTGCAGAGGATAGCTCTTGTTCACCCATTTCTGTGATGCAAGCCTTAACCTTTACCAACGGTGTATCAGTCTGGAGTGTGGAATCCCAGGATTGTAATACCCTAAACACTTACTTCCTGGGCGTTAAGATGTAACGCTGAAATGTTCCACTTGAACCACTTCCCCTTCTTTCCTGCACAGGTGATTTGGATTATTACTGGTTGGATCCTGCGACATGGCATAGCCGGGAAACGTCTCCTATTAGTTCGGTAAGCTTTCTCAAAGCATATACAGTTTATGATTCATCTGTGGCATTCATTATCTTCTGTTATGTAATCAATAATCATCTTTCTGGATCTCATACACATTTTATTACAGCCATTATTAATTTAGTTTGAAAGGATCACTTTAAAGAAAAAAAGGATTACCTTTGAGTAATCTCAGAGCTCTGCCAGCATCTGCCTCCCAAGCGCTGGGATTAAAGGCATATGCTGTACTCTCCTGGCATCGGCATCATGAAATTATTTTTAAATGAAGAGAACTTAAAAAAAAAATAGATTCTCAAGAAGTCTGATGGTATTTTTGTCCACACGGAAAATGACTTTTCTCAATAATAACATTGTCATATACTTACAGTAAATAGACTGTATTTAGATGTTAAGATTAAGATCATCGTGGGATCAAAGTTGGATAACAGTGCTGCTTACACTGTTTAATTTATTAAAGCCAAACTATTAATTTTGTTATTTAAAACAGAGTGGAATTCCTGACTGTGCCAGATAGACAAGTCCACTCCTATAATAATGGTTAACTAGTACGATGGCACTTAGTTTAAATTTGAGATCATGCATTAATGTACTGTCCACAGCTGAAACTCTATGCTCAGTTTTCCATTTCATGGAATTTGTAACATTTCTTCAGAGATAATGCTTACACAAATGAGAAGTGAGGAGAAAATCCCTGTTCAGATTCTGCATTAGCTGGGGTAGCATGTCTTCTCTTCTGTAGCTACAGAAGCATGTCACTGGGGTGAGGAATTAATTTGGCCTCTTCTCATTGGAATATTTTATAGACCATTGAGCATTGTTGGAAAATTTCATTTACTCAGTACACACACACACACACACACTCAAACACACACACACACACACACACACACACACACACAAAATTCACATGTACCCAGTACACAAATATGCAAATATACACACCCAGAGGCATAACAAACACAGAGAAAAAGGACCATACACAACATATAAATATATACACACAAACACATGATTAATATCCATTGCACTGGATATGGTAGGTTTTAGCTGTTGGGCCACACAACTGTTTAACCTAGTTTAATTTGTGATGTTTATACTCCAGATGAATATATTTTATGTTGAGTTTTCCTTTCCGTTGTGCAGAATAATAGTTTTCAGTGTTAGATTTGCATTCTTGCATATGGTTCTTTGATCCCATTCCTATCTCTAACCACCTTCCATTTCTGTACCCCTTTCTCTCCATCTTTCTGAATAGCTCCACATTCTACCCGCACACCGCCTTTATTATTTTCTCTAAAGCTCTTGTGTGGGAGAACACACATCAAAAATCATTCCAGAATGACTCCATTATATGTGAATAAGGCTGAAATATTCTAGGTACTCCTTGACTTATTATACAACAAGGCTACCTCCTGCTTAACTCATTGTTTACTGAAAATGATGGGCTGAATGGTGGCTCAGCACTAAATTCACTTGTCAGGAAGCATGGAGACCTGACTTTGATCCCCAGAACCTACTCTGTGAAACAGGAGACTCAAATCCTGTAAGTTGTTCTCTGACCACCACCATGGCATGTGTGCTTCCCCACAATAATGCAGTAAAAGTAAAATACACTAGTTGAAATGGGCTTCACACACCTGTTCTAGTTAATCCATCGCTTTGCAACACAGTACATTGAGGGTGCTGGTTGCTTACTAATTGCATGACTTTTAGACCCAAGACTCCATGCAATTGCCCAGCATCCTTACAAAAGTGCACATAACAAACAGACCACAACCTGATAAAAGTTAGGATCCAGTGTGGTAGCTGCTGAATGGTAATACCTTTATACAGTTGTAAAGTAAAATTAGATTGTAAGGTAAGCCAATGCAATTCAAGAGCTAGATCCTCTATATAGTATATAGTCACCAGTATACTATCACCATTAATAACTCAAGTGTGGTTGGTGTTCTGTGTAGAACAGACATATTATTAAAATTAGGTAGTTACATGTCAGAGCCATTTTTGAGAGCATTCTTTTTGCAAATAAATTACTAGTCTAACTGAAAATAAAGAATTCCCAGTCTAGTGTCTTTCAGCCATCCCCAAATCACACCATGCTACAACCGCTGATTCTTTAGCTACAGAAAGTAAACTTTTTAAACTTTATGTTTTAATAGCATCCTGTAACTTGGCAGCCATCGAAAGAGGGAGACCGATTAATTGGCCGTGTTATTCTTAACAAAAGAACAACCATGCCCAAAGAATCAGGTGCATTATTGGGTCTGAAAGTAAGTATAATGCCTCCTATTTGGTAACATGCAGTACAGACAGCATCCATGAAGTTTGCAACAATTAGTTTTAAATATTTTTCTCTCGTTCCCAAAGTAAATTCTACCCAGAGACTACAGTTTTGCTTATGTGTTAAGGAGAAGCGAAGTATAGGTAGGGAAATGTTTTCTAATAACTAATGCTTCCAGTAGTGTTTGAAGTATAAAATGTTGCTTTTAAACACACTTACTGTTTGTATTCTGATCAAAATAAGGACATGTTAGATGCACAGAGACACTTCTATTTTATAGGACAGTCTATAGAACCTGCATGTCTTGCATTATGTGTATCCAGACATCTGTGTTAAGTCACATGATTTTGCTGAAAGTTTACTAACTACATATTCAAAGACTTTGCTTTAAATACTGTTGCTGTTGCATGTGGCTTCTTGAGAACTTTAGGCTATTAATTTAGGAGCTCAGTTTAGCTCATCTGTTGAGCCCTTGCCTGGCATACACGAAAGCTCTGAATTCAGACCAAAGTACAGCCTAACAAAAATTAGTTCAGGAGCTTGTTTACATTTTGTTGATTAGTCTAAATTACTCTTGCTGAGAAATGATTCTGGTAGCCTGTATTAATAATTTCTACAAATTTCGACGAACTGTTCACAGCTCTCACCATTCGGTGTTATAATTTCACCTCCCTCCTCCACTCCTCTTTAATTGTGTGTATTTGGGATCCTTGGATATTCTAAATTTGAGCCTAGAGTTTACTTTTTTTTCCAAATATATTGAATTTAGGTAGAATGGAAAGTGTTGCATGTTTAACAATATAATTCAGGCTTGAGATCCAAGTTTTCATAGTTAGGTAGGGAAAACGACATTGTCCAGATGTGTTGTTGTGGATGTGCTGAAGCTGTGATACTTGTACACACTGTCATCTTTTGCACAGTAGGAGCTCACTTCCCCCAGGTGGCCTTTGCTTGGGTGGAATCTGTAGTCTGTATAAACTCAGGTCCACTGTATTCTACCACAGTTATAGAAAGGGGAACAAGACTTGGTATGGGCAGTGGTGTATATCTTTATCCAAATAAGCCAATTTACATGGTAGGCATGATATGGAAGACTGACTCAGTGCACACAGCACCAATTACTTGAGGAATAACCATGAACAGGGAATTTTACTCCTATCTTCTAAATGTACATTATCACGGGCCCTTGTGATTGTACAGTGTAAAAAGTCAGTACATTAACATCCTTACACAGCATCCCAAATACAGTGATTTTTAAAAATATGAATGACCCCTCACTGGGCTATAAACATATTAGAAGACAATGTACAATTATTTCTGCTTACTAATTTATTCCCACGTGAGACTAGACTTAGGAACTCATGCCTCTGTAATTATCCAGGTGGTTGGAGGAAAAATGACAGACTTAGGACGCCTTGGTGCTTTCATCACCAAAGTAAAGAAGGGTAGCCTGGCAGATGTGGTTGGACACCTACGAGCAGGTAACTTTCTCTTCTTCACTTATAGCCAATTTGCTCTCTCTCTCTCTCTCTATGAATGGATGGGTTTCAGTTTGTGTTCAGTTATTTATATATGTGAGCTGTCACCAATTCATTATAAAGCATGGATCAGCTCTTTTCCTGATGCAGATATTTACCATTTCGACTATAGTTACCTATGCATATGTAGCAACTGGGAGATAGTAAGATTAGGGACCTTTTCTATTTATATAAAAGCATAGATGCAAAATAATGAAAGAATGATTTTTTTATAGATGACTTCATAATGTTACAACAAAAATGTAAGCACAAAGAGGATTTGCATTCACCATCATTGTCTTTTATAAAGTGTCAAAGCATTAATTTAGGAGGAGTAACTGGTGTTCTGCATATAACCTAATCATAATAATAAATCTATGCAGATAGATTATCTAATGAACTATAGGTTAATTTAAATGTGACATATTATGCCATTTCTATAGAAATTGGATGCTTATTTTGCTCTGTGTAGCAAATCACTGAATGTACTGTAAATCCAGTAGCAACCATAATAATATTTTTAGTTGATTTAAATGTACAGAATGGTTAACTATACCAATAAAGGTGATTGTTGGCAGAAGAATAAATCTTTAAAAAAAAGTATAGAAATACCATAGTCGTTACAGCAAACTTCTTTAGTAACTCAGTTCTTTGCAGGTGAGAACAGGTAATGACTTCTGAATTTGACTGTTTTTTTCTTAGATAATTCCCACTTCTTTAACACCCTCTTAATTAACTCAGAGCCTGACAACCTAAATCTAAAAGGATAAAACACAGCAGCTAAAGCAGTTGTAAACCATACAAATGTGCCTCTTTATTTATGCAGTTGATTTGGACACAATCAAAGTACCATTAATTTTACATTTTTAAAGATTCAATGAGAGGGATGATTAGATATATATTTTAAGGTACAAACTGGCTTCTCTTCTATTTTCATATAACAGCCTAGCTCATAAAAGTCACCTGTGACATTGCTTTTGTCCTTTACTTGGAACTTGGAACCTTCCTTCCATCTTCCATGGATTCGTACAGACTGACCCCCTTCAGGTCAATGCAGTTCACTGTTGCTCGGGTTAACCATAAACACAAAACCGACACTTCATACTTGTTACTACTGAGATCCATCTGTGCCTCTTGCTTATTTTATCCAACTCAAAGCTTTGCGGCTCTGCCCACTGTAAGCCTACAGAGCTCCCTGGCCATGTCAGTGTACTCCTGTCCTGGCAAGCTTCCTCCCTGCCTGCCACAAGACTTGATCAGCACCAGCTGTCGTCAGCCTGCTCTGATTGTTGAAATCTTCTTCACTCTTCAGTGCTCATAACTCAAATGTTTCTTGAAGCCTCACCTAGAGCAGTAACTATTTCTAATTACTACCCTCCTGGTACCACCTGGCTGTACTTCTGTTCCTCATTCGAAGCCTGTTATTACAGGAAACACTTTATTTGAAGGGTTTGGTAGTGGTTTCTGTATTATATTTCCACCATGAAATACAAAGAGAAGCCATTGTTTCCATCTTTTCCCCCTCATTGATTACATCTACCTCATGTGCTTTTCAATGGAGAAGCAAATCGTCTGAATGGTGTTAAACAATTACTGTATTCAGTGTCATTACACTATAAATAAAGCATACATCAATATTAAATGTTATGTGCCCAGATTACTATCAATTAGGAAGAGTAATTTGCAATGCATTGCTTTTGCAAAATAATAGTTGCAGTCCACTCTTGGGTATTGAAATCAATTTATTTGTAGTCATATTTTTTTTTAAATGAAAGAACAAAATGTAAAAGTAATTATCAGGGTAAGTACTACTTTATAAAATATTTTCCCAGTGTATGTGTGAATATACACACATATATTATACATGTCTAATGAACTGTGTCTACTTACATATAATTCATTAGATATAAGTATATATTTCTAGTGAATTGTGATGTTTAACTGTTTCTTCTTTTAGTCAAAACCTGTTTGAATATTGCCAACTTATTGTGAAAATGTGATCTTTTATTTTCCTATTTTCCTTCTTATCAGTTAAGTATATTAAATAACCTTTCTAGGTAACGTCTTAGGTCAAATTATTAAGACTTACTTAATTATTGCTAATAACCATACTTTAATGAAACTTAAACAGTACTTATGCTTTTTACTTTTAAGTAAATTCTTAGGAAATAAGAATAATATTAAGATCTTTTTCCATCTGTTATAAAAAATGATCTAATATATAAAAAATTCATATTTGTATCTACCATTATGTGTACAATGTTGGTAATTAAACGCTGATTTTAGTTAGGTCCCTAATTATTCTAGGATCTAAAATGCTAAGAACCACATAATAAGCACAGTCATGAGAAAAGTAAGCCAAGCATTTAGGTTCTAACATATTTATGAAAAGAAATCTTTGTCTCCAAATCATCTACTTTTTAAAGCTGGAGTTAAAATAACAACCATCAATTGCTGTACTTTTTCTGTGTGGGACATCGTATTTCTGTCCTTTATTGATCTCAGACTAACATACAAAGAAATTAGTACTCTATTAATTCTCTATTGCCTTAAATATTTTCTATTGTTACTTTAGTGTTCACTACATGCTCTGTATAGGATGTATGTGTTATGAACATCTGGAAGGGGGTTAACTGTCATGCAACAGTTTTTTACATCTGCTTGCTTTGTAACTGCCATGGCTACCTACGTTACCTTACCTATGGATATGAATTCAAACCCTTTCATGCATTTTTATTCTGTTGTGCTTCGGGTGAAGACAGTGGAACCTGACTTAGAGGTGGAGAAGTCATGCTAGACAATGTTTCTTGCTATTTTTACCAAAACTAAACCAAAACTTCTGCTCACTTACTAAGAACCCTTCATAAGCAGAGCCACCTGCATTTATTATATTACAGGGCATGCTGCTAACCATCGGTTTTAATGTTTCCAAATAGGCTGTGCTAATTTTCATCCCATAGCATGAAATTATTTCTATATTATTTCTGGTATATCTGAAAAATAAGATCAGTTTTGTATTGGGCTATTTTCAGTGATCAGTAATATATGGGGAGGAAAGCAAAAGAAGAAAGTAAAGGTGATTAGAAGAACCAATTAGCAAACATTATATGATAAGTCATTTTGCTTCTGAGTGCGAAGCCTCGAATAGAAAATGATTGGTATATGGTTTGCATTTCTTTGTTAAAAAAGAGAAAAGATAAGAAAAGTAAACAGAATATATAAGGTAAAAAAATACCCTTTTTTTTAAATTCAAGGGGATGAAGTTCTAGAGTGGAATGGTAAACCCCTGCCGGGAGCAACAAACGAAGAAGTTTACAACATTATTTTAGAATCAAAATCAGAACCTCAAGTTGAAATTATTGTTTCAAGGCCTATTGGGTAAGGCTAAAAACACTTACTTCTTAAGCTTAGTGAATTACATGTATTATCAGGGTTTGAGAAAGAAGTGTTTACATTCATACAGTACATGTTAACATGGATAGTTTTTGCATCAATTATGGGCTTATATAGTAGACTATAAATACTTAACTTTTAAAATTAGAATATGGATTTTCTTCCCTTATATTAGAAGCTCCTCCATGGACCAATATAAAAATATCAATATTAATGTTAATTTTCAATATAACAAAGTACTGTCTTTCAGTGATTAGCTACTGATATTTTTTTGGTAGTTTCTAAAGTAATAAGTGGTGTTTCCTTTAAGGGAATAACCAGCCAATTCATCTAGTGAAATTAAAATTATTAATGAAGATATATATCTCCCATAACTTCTTATTCTATAAAGGAGAAAATATTTTCCCATGTACTTACAAAAGAATGGTTTCAGTTTTTAAGACCAGGCAGTAACTATTGAATATTTGGATGTTCTAAACATGGTACTTATAAAACTTCAGTTTAAAACATGATTCATTAATCTATAGATAGTAGAATATACCTCTATGTCTGTCTTTAGGCCCTGTAGAGTTAGCTTTTCCCAACAAACTCACTAAATCCAGAGTAAAAGTACATTTACCATTCTATAAATTATAGTAGGCATTTTGAACTATGTCATTATACTGAGCACTATATGAATTTATTCTTGGGAATAATTTTGTATCTATTTCTCAAGATACTACAGTGCTCTGATTTGAGACATTTATGATTTAAATACTGTTAACTGTAATTTTTGTTTACATGAGTTTATATCCTCATGGAAAATAATCATCCTAATATTGATAGAATGTCAAAGTATAATCATATTTCACAGAACATTAAAATATAACTCTAAAATAAAGCCAAGTTTTTACTAATTTTAATTGGTGACAAAGGATAAATATTGAAGATATTTCTTAAAATATTATATGTTTCCATGTAGTCTTTTAAAATAACATCATACTCTATGGTAGTTTTATGTGATATATGTTCTAGTGCTGAGGTACATTTGAGAATGACAAAGAGGTAAGTAAATCTGGAAAGAATCAAAAGTATAAGAATAAAATTTATACTAGAACTTTGCACACATAGTCAGGTATTTTGTAGATATGCAATTCTTTTAGAGTACTTGTGTAAAACAGTGATTTACCATGACTTATGAGAACAACAGACAATTAAAGTAGACTGGAAATACAAGATAATATTGCTGTTGCTTTTGTACACATTATTTAGAAATAATCATCAGCATATCCAAACCTTAGTCCATCATGGAGTATGGAATTCAGAAGTGTATGGCTTTGAAGATTGTGCCTGAATAAAAATAACTATTATATACATTATTGGAATAATACTAACTGTATTTTCAGTAATAATGCCTAAAGTTGTTAATGTTTAATTCATTGACATAATGTTTTCAGGAATCTTTGTAGCTATAATTCATAACCATTCATTCATACAGACTAAATGCTTATGCCCCTTTCAGATGTTTTGGATGCTCTTTCCTTTTAAGCTTCTTAGCATTATTAAAATTATGGATCACAACAGTTGTGTTAATAAGAGGAACAGTATGCATGGAAATCTTGCAAAAACAATTAATGTTAAATGTTGGCCCAAACTGACCTTAGAATTTGTAAAACAACTTCCCCCTGGTCCTCCTTTCAGTAATACATAAAATGTTTCAGACTTAAAAATTCTGAATTAAGATTTTCAAATAATTTTTACAATCTAAAATGTCATTATCCTAAGTTTTCAAAATAATTTTTATTTGCTCAGATGAGTGGGGAGGATATTGTCATTATTAAAATAGTTGTATTTCAGGAATTGTAAATAAAGTAATCTCAATTACTAGTTCATGAAGAGTACATAAATTGGCAATTATGTTAAAATATAAGATACAATATATTTGCAAAATATGTAGTATGAGTTTTTATCATTTGTTGACAATTTTGAATATAGTTAATTATAAAATTAGTTTACACAAAAAGTGATGAGGCTTCAAGAACAAAACTAGAAAAGTAGAGGTTAAATAGTCCAAGTGAATTTAGGTTGTAAGGTAAGTGATTAAAATAATTAACTAATAATTCTGTCAACACTAACTCCAGTCTGCTTTAATGTCACATCAATATTTGCATATTACTAATCTCCTTAAAGTGCTACTAAAATTATTTCTTTAAAAGGATAGACAAAGTAGTTGTGTATAGTATAATGCCCAAACCAAGGTGGTTCAGGGTTCTTATGGGATATTAAAGCCTCAGTGGAAAATAGATTAAGCGGAAGTAATATTAAGGATTTTTTTCAGAGTAATTTGTGAGTGTTTCAGGCATGGGTGTTCTCACAACTCACTTTAACCATGTAGTGTAAAAGCCATGTATTTGGCAAACTTCAGTATAGAGATACAAATCTCTATAAAGGGCATGTATTTACATATAATATATATGTAAATATATAAATATATTACATGCACATACTTGAAATATTTTGGCTTTTTATTTTTTGTTGCAAGCTTGCACCATCATTAATTTCCAAAGCAATCAATCCATCATTTTAATTTTCTTACCTTTGCCCATGATATTCATCATTCCATTTAATTATGAACAGGTATTTCCATCCGTTCCACTCAGTAAACTCTTTCAGATGTGTTTGTAAAGCATATTACTGATTTGTAAAAATCTGTGTCATTTTGGTTTTCTAGAATTGAAATAAAATATTACCTTTAACATTTTTTTTTTTTTTAGTTTCCAAAACCTGCTGTTTTGGTAGTCAAAATATTGTGGTGAACTTATCCACAATATTAGTCTGATTGTTGTCATGTTAAAGTGTTTTGCTATTAAAACTATATAAAAATTACTTTTTATTGCAGTTTTCTTTTCTGTGGTGTTTGGCATTCATGCACATTGGTAGTTACCTAAATAGAATCTCTTCTTCATTTCTATAACATAAAGACCCCAAAGGACTTTCATCTCACTGTAATAAAATGGGCTGTGGTTGCCTCAGGCAGGAACATCTATCTAATGGGATTTTCACTGTACCTGTTTGTTTTAGTGACATCCCCCGGATCCCTGAGAGTTCCCATCCTCCCCTGGAGTCCAGTGAGTAATAGCATTTCCGTGTTATTACAAATATATTAAACTAAATTAGAAAACAACTTTCATGCTTTTCCTTAGTCATTTTATATAAATGAATTAATATTACTGTTGACTGTCTTCACTAATGTCAAATTTTGCAGTTATATCAAAGATAGTTCTTCACCAAGAATTTTTTTTGCCTATCTTTTGGGGCCACGCCAAAAAAATCTTCATGTCAAAATCCTTCTTTATAACATAAAATTGGAAGTGTTATGTTTGGGGCAGGTGTTTTGGGAGAAATTGAGGCAGATTACTAGAGAGTAAAGAGTTTATTAGAAAAGTTATTAGCTCCATGAACAGACAGCAGGGGCCTCACAGCATGAGAGCATTAAAGAGAGTGCAGACTCCAGTACCAGAGTCAGATGGTAAGGCCCTGGCACAGCCACTCCAGAATCAGGACCTGCGTGGCAGAAGTGGGGAGACATTCTGTTCATACAACTGTCTGGGGATGGGGAAGGTCTCGCAGCACTTTCAAGACTAGCCTGTGCAACTTGGTGACAAATAGTCTTAAAATAACAAAAATAAATAAATGAATAAATAAATACATAAATATTGTGAAACCTGACTGATTGATTGATAAGCATCAGTCTCAGGAGCAGTCTATACCAGTGTTTCTCAACCTGTGGATCATGGCCCCTTTGAGGGTTGAATGATTCTTTTATAGTGGTCACCTAAGACTTTATGAAAACACGGATATTGACATTAACATTCATGAGAGCAGCAAAATTGCTTTTATGAAGTAGCAATGAAAATAATTTTATGGTTGGGGGTCACCACAATATAAAGAATTGCATTAAAGGGTTTCACCATTAGGAAGGTTGAGAATCACTAGTCTAGACACAATAATAATTGTCATGCCACCACATAATAGTGTCACATATGGTAACAGAAGTCCATGAATGTAATAGAGTTTAGTGACAGGGGTGTGTGGCAGAGCTTTTACTGCAAAGGGGTGAAAATATTGTTGGAATAATAAGTAAAGTAACCCAGGACGAGATACGATCATATTGTGTGTAATGATACCTTTAAGTAATGACGTTTTGTTCATAAAGTGAAAATTATTGTCATTTGATTAAAACTTGATTCTCTAGGTATTCTTACAGAATCCATCTTGTATGATATAAAATTGAATTGACTTAAGGAAAATTAGTGACAAGAAGGGAAGAAAATATAACCATACTGAAGATGGAACCAGTGGCCAAGTTAGCACATGAAACCTATTCCATCATGTTTCCGAATCTGTTGGAGCTGGGCACAGATTCGGTTTTGGGATTTCTGATGACCAATACCAAGAGATACATGGAGAAAGTTCCATAAACAATAATAGTCTGGATAAGATTAAAAGTAAACTCATTTTTATAACCCTCATTATCATATGAAACACATTTTAAGGCCTAAAAATTGTTAGGCTAAAGAAACCAGAATAAAGAGAAATTACATTTTATTGCAGCATTTCATGTAGATAAAAGTCTCCTTTTCAGGGAACAATGAAGCAAATGGCTTCATTTAAAACTCATTTTGGGGTGGTTAACACCAAAGACACAGCTCTCTTTTTTAGAGGGAATAGGAGATAGTTTACTATGGAGCCATTTTGAATGGACACAAATTTAAGTAACCCCACATGCCACATTCCAAACATGAAAGCAGTTTCCTGTAGTTGTGTAGATTTTACAGAACAAAGAAAGTCATGAATTGAGAAAAATTTAAAATACATGCATGGATACATCAGAGAGGTGGTTACAGCAAGATGGAGAAAGCTTTGCAAGTTTTAATCAGTCAGTGGTCCAGTCTTTGTAGACATAGCTTCTGTTCATAGACTACAAAAAGAAAAAAGAAAAAAAAAAAGGATGGTGTTGGTAGCATGCCTTGATGTAATTTCACAGTTTTTTCCAATGTGTGTTTACGAACTTTAGGGTGATTGCATTTCATGGAATCCTATATTTTGTGCATGTGTCTAGGTACAGAGACATGACAACCTCCAATACATGTCAGTGAAGGAAATTGTCTGCTGTGAATTAGTGAGAAGTACTATTCTCCAAAGTTTAAGAGTTTTATTTGTAACATAAAATTTAAGAGAAATAATCATACTTTTAAAAATAATGATGAAATCTAAATTTAATCGTGGCTCATAAATCATGTTCTATATTTATATCATTCTGTCACTGCAGACAAATGTTCATTAGCGACAGTAATTAACACAGCATGCATCATCTTCTTTATAACTACTTCAGAACACTTGTTCATTGATGTAATTTGTAACAGTTGATACAGAACAATTCCCTTCAAAATGTAGATAAGATCTTTCATGTTGAGACAAATGAAAACCATATCATATTATATCACTCAAAACAGATAATTAACCAAAGAAGACAAAAATAACTTTACAGAGCTGTCCCATGAAAAGTAATCTCTACATAGCATAGTGTTAGCTGTGCTTTTATACAAATTACAGGTGTATTTAACTATTGGTTCAAAAATGTATTCCTTACAATTGTTTATTTTTATTCTCATTTTAGGTTCAAGTTCCTTTGAATCTCAGAAGATGGAAAGGCCTTCCATTTCTGTTATTTCTCCAACCAGCCCTGGAGCTCTGAAAGATGCCCCGCAAGTCTTGCCAGGGCAACTCTCTGTATGTACTTTTTATATGCAGTGAATGCCACTAGGATTTGTTCTTTGCATGCATCTGGCTTCCTTGGGTGTACCATTAATAGATAGTCATTTGGCACTATCATGTACCTCACTGTTATATATTTCTTCAGCTTCTCCTTCAGTCATACATAGTGACACAGAAATATTTTTGGAATGTTTACAATGTGCTAAGTGCTCTAAACATTAGCTGGTAAATGGTGGCATTTGAAAAAATGTTCATACTTTTGGAATGTCTCATCAATGTTCCAGGGCATGTCAGTATTCACATAATATTCATAAAAGCCACATTGAGATTCCATAACCACTTTATGAGCGTGTATGTAGGAAACTTAAATGTTTAAAATTGCTGTTATCGTCTTAGGTAGGTGTGTGTGTGTGTGTGTGTGTGTGTGTGTGTGTGTGTGTGTGAGAAAAGACAGCACAGAATAAACCACGTACTTCCTGTGGGTTCTCTCTCTAACCTGGGGAACCCTGGAGAAATAAACTGGTCAACTGTTATGAATAGCTCATAGATTAAAAATAGAAAGTGTGATATTTGTATTAATAACTAAGAAGAAATCTTGCATCAGATTGTGAAGTTGAGTTTTTAGTCTTTAGTGTTATGTGTCTTTCTGTAGTCAATCTTGATGCTCTTCTTTTGATTGACAAGTCAAAAGATCCAAATTTATACTCGGTATATTTCCAAGTCTTCCTTACAATATAAGAAGTGGTGTAACCTGTTTGTCTTAGCTGCTTGGACATTTGTTTCATTGTTCTTATCTCTAGCTCTTCACCTACACTATTTACACTATTAAGGTGACTAAAGCCTAGATTGGTTGTATGTGTGCCTGTATGTATGTATGTATGTATGTATGTATGTATGTACATATAAAACAGTAGGTTGGATTGATACATCTTCAAATCCTGTTTCTGCTCCTTACAGAGATTAAGAAGTCCCATTTAACTTAGTTTTTTTGGTTATGACATCTTAATTCACTGTCTCATATACCCACTAGGCATATGTATTGAAATTTATGACTTAATCAGAAAATCAAAAGTAACTTCTAGATTCAAAGACAGAATTGAAGTCAACACCTGGAGTTTAGTGACACATTCTCGCTACCGGTATGGACTCTGCCATTTGTGTTCAAATCTAATTTGAGATCACCTTTGTTTTACCATTTGCCTCTAGCTTGGAGCATTCATCATCACAAATGTCACTCAGCCTTCATGCTAGTTGAAGGGTCATTTAGGCCTTCCCTTTGTTTCTCCTATCTCTTACAGTAGCTAGCAAATTAAACTTGAGAGAAATGTTAGGAAGCAACCAATTCTACCTGGTGCAGAAGGGGCCTGTGACATGCTGCCTGGCCGCTTCCTTTCTGTCTTAATCAGCTCCTACTTCAGGCGCACATAGTACTAGAAAGCAATTTCTGTAAACATTGTATGTTATTTTTGAGATTATAATACGATTATGTAACTTATCCCTTGCCTTCTCTCCTTCCAAACCCTCTCTTGCTCTTTAGACAGTACTTCTAACAAGCGTGATATAAACTCATTGATGATCGCCAACTATTGTGTTTGATATCAAATTACATTATGATGACTTCAATATTCCCAGAGTTAAAACAGAAAGATTTGTTGTACGGGCCAGGCTTTTTCTTTTGAGCCACAAATCAGCTCCCAAGCCATGACACAGAGACAATATTAGTTATGAATGCTCAGTGTAGATTAGGCTTGTTTCTGGTTAGCTCTTTTAACAGAAATTAACTGTTTCTTTTATCTACCTTTTGCCTCAGAGCTTTTAAAAAAGTATATTTAGTTTTTAGTGTCAGTTTACATTCCAACCAAAGTTACCTTTCTTCCTTCTGTTCATTTTACTGTCAAACCTTTCCGTATCTGGCTGGCTGTTGGCTATCTGGCTTCTAGCCGCTGGCTTGTCTCTCGCTTTCTCCCTCCTCTAGTTCCTCTCTTTCCTAGATTTCTCCTCCTATTTATTTTCTCTGCCTGCCAGCCCAACCTAGCCTTTCCTGCCTAGCTATTGCCCATTCAGCTCTTTCTTTATTATACTAATCAGGTGCCTTAGGTAGGCAATGTAACAAAGCTTTACATCATCATTAAACAAATACAGCATAAACAAATGTAACACATCTTTGCCTAGTTAAAAGAATATTCCTCAACAGTTGTTTTGCCATGCCTGAAGATGTAACACCAGGTTTGCCCATTGTGAGTTCTACATAAAATGCTTATTAAAGGGAAAAGTGAACTTCTTGATGGCTGCAGCTTAAAATCTCTGTGATTCCATTATATTTCACGTCAAAACATCATCTTTTAAATAGAGTTCTGATGTGTTATTATTCAAACAGTATAATATCGCACGATTTTGATCAATGGCAGCTTCTTTCTGCATTTATTCCTAGGTGAAGTTGTGGTATGATAAAGTGGGACATCAGCTGATTGTAAATGTTCTACAAGCAACTGATCTACCTTCTAGAGTAGATGGCCGTCCCAGGAATCCCTATGTAAAAATGTATTTTCTTCCAGATAGAAGGTAGTGAATGATTTTTGGAAAGTTTACTAAGCTCAGTATTAATTAGAAAGATTGAATTTCCTTTCTGTGGCATATTTTCTAAATATGATGTTATGAATATAATAAGTAATTTGCTCTAGGGGGACTAAACTGCTTTATCCCTGAAGACAATGTCCCAGACCTTTTATTTGAAAATAATATGGTACTTTTGAATATGCCCATTAGTAGAGACACTTCATTAAGAATGTACCTTTCTATATACACACAGTCAGACCATTGCTTACATTTGTAATTGAAGTTAGTACTATTAAGTAATAACAGTATTACGCCCTGTGGAAACTGTGATTGGTATGTCTATTAAATACAACTAATTAAAAGATATATACAAATAATTATACGTGTGTTATATATGTTTACAAATGTGTTTATACATAATGTTCATAGGTAGTTATGAGTGTGAATATATATGTGAGGATTTTATGTAACTTTAGGTCACTAAAAATGTGATTCTTAAAAAACAAAAACCAAAACCCACTGATTGAAATTACCGAAGGCTGCAGTAGAGGGCAGCATGTGCACGGTTTCACTTGCTCATCTGGGAAAACTTTACTTTCCAGCGACAAGAGCAAAAGAAGGACCAAAACAGTGAAGAAAATTCTAGAACCAAAATGGAATCAAACATTTGTCTACTCACATGTACATCGTAGAGATTTTCGAGAGCGAATGCTGGAAATTACCGTGTGGGATCAGCCAAGAGTACAAGAGGAAGAGAGTGAATTCCTTGGAGAGGTGATGTATAGAGGAGAGCGGAGTGAGATGCTTTCGGCACACCTGTTAGATGCTTGGCTTTCGGCACACCTGTTAGTCACGGGAACTTTCATGCTGTGTTTCATTTGGGAACTGTCTTTTTCAGATCCTCATAGAATTGGAAACGGCACTTTTAGATGATGAGCCCCACTGGTATAAACTCCAGACACATGATGAATCTTCACTACCTCTGCCTCAGCCATCACCGTTCATGCCACGGCGGCACATTCATGGAGAGAGCTCCAGCAAAAAACTACAAAGTAGGTCGAGTTCATTTTAGTTAGCAGACAGTAATTATGCTTCTGAGTTCCGCTTGCTCAAAAATGTGTATTTTCAAAAGTTTTATTGAAGAGCAAACTAGCTGGGAAATTGTTCACCTCTCAAAAAGGGATTTGGCTGTATACCATTTTCTGCATTCACAATATAATAATAGACGAAAGCTAGAAATCTTCCAAGACATTGCCTGAACATTATTTGAATTATTGAGGGGCAGATTGGTGGACCGATTTCTCCGCAAGGGGTTGCTGCATATAAAGTCATAGTAGTGTTATCATTACAGGGCATTTTTAATCTCACTGATAAGAAATATATATTTGGAGCCAGGATGTTACAAGTTCATTAGTATTCATGTGCTAATTAGGAAAAGTCATTTTTCTCTGTAATAATTTTTGTGTCATCAAGCAAATAAATGCTCCAACAGATGAAACTTAGAAGCAATGTTTTGGTAGCTGGGATTCAATTTTCTTTTCCCCTTTCCATTGAATATGTCAGTAATTCCCTGATTAATAATTTCCTCAAAATTAATATTCATTAGCATCATAGCTAATAGACATATTTTACCAATGGGCTTGATGCTGTCTGAGCATCCTGAGGTGTACCAGACAGCAGCCAAAGGAGGTCTTTGAGCCTATCTCTCAGTCCCACCCTTCTCCATACAGAGAGAACTGTATGCACTTCACTGTGTGCTCTTAGGCCAATATTTAAAACAAAGAAGGATATTAGTCTAATTTTATAATGTACGAGCCCTTCTGGGTAACTGTGGAGGAAGTTCTGAAAAAATACTATTATTCTTTTTAGACAAACAAGTGTCTCGATAAACCAGACCAGTGTTTACTTTGAATTATTCTTGTTCAACTATGTCCTTTGCATGTCGTAAACCAAGTGGACACAGAGGTATCTGTTTGCCTTACTGTTGTGCAGGATCTCAGCGAATCAGTGATAGTGACATCTCAGATTATGAGGTTGATGATGGTATTGGAGTAGTGCCTCCAGGTGCGTGGTGAAGAGCATGTCTGTGCTTGATTCTACCCCCAGGCTCCTTCCGGACACGGAACTAGAGGTCTTTAGTGCAGAAATATCAGTATTATGTTATTCCATGGTGACTTCAGTTTCAAATTGTTAATGACATTTAAAACGAACTAGCATCTCCGAATTCACCTCCCAATTTTCCTGATATGGTTAGGTTCTTCCTTAGAAGTATGCCGAAGTAGGTTAAACAAAAGCCACTGTTTCACGGTGCTCTGAGCATTGATGGAAATGTGGATTTCATTTTGAAAGGATACTGTTAATTTTATTAACATCCAATTCCATTCTCCTGTGTTTTATATTGTATTTCTATGATTTTCCTCCCCCCATTTCTCAAAATACCATAGCCTTCCATGGAATATACTGAGAAAGGTGCATGGCAGGGTTTAAAATTGCATGTGGCATGGCTGTAGCTTATAATGCTTCTGTGGTGTGCTCACTACTTATACCTATGTGTGTATATGTTTTGAATTAGGACAATGTTTTAGAAGAGTCAACATTCCCTTGAAATGTATGTCTTCTTGTCTTTGTATATGTTGGCGGATTTTTTTGTAACATGTGAAAATTTAGATTTACACTTTTCCACCCTAGTTGTCAGGAAAAGTACTTAAAGTCAAGGAACACTTGCTTTCTTTGTATTAGTCCTGATTCCCTTTGTTTAACTAGTAAAGGGGAAACAAATACTCAACTGAGAACGAAGAGAGAGATTACCGAAGGTATAAATGTGACTAATTAAAGCGAGTTGATTAGAGAAACATTGCCATGTGTGCCCTTTGCTTATGTAATGTCTGCACTGGGGATGCGCTTAAATCCAGGAGGGAGGTTTTAGTAAAAGTGATAGAATCGTCACTAGTGGGAGAGTTCAAATTTTTTTTTTTATGATGCATAGAACTTCACTTAGGATAAGATAAAACTACAGAGAATTTTCTAAACTCACATAATCATTACATCATTTAACGAAGGTACTCATGTATAAAAAGCAGCAAATATTGATAATCAGTGCTATGTGGACTGGAGGAGGTCATGAATGCTAGTTTTGTATAAGAATGGGTAACATTTTCTATTTCTGGCTTTTATATTTTAAAACACCATAGTAATTATACACATTCTTAGAAGACTTTTTCATAGAAACTGAATTACTAAAAGTGATTATAAATTTAAATCTATTGTCATTGTCAAACTGATGAATCAGATTATTGCTGGTAAGAAAGAAATCAAATATTTATTGGGATCGATCAGCCTTAACATTGTTACCAACTTAACGTAAATAGGATTTGCTACAATGGGTGTTTCTCACCTGATTCTCCTTTTTTATATTTTAAATGAGGCAGTGGAGGATGCATGAATAGCCAACTAGAAACGTATTCAAATGATGGGCTCCTAGTTCTTTGTCTGAGATAAACACTCTCAATAGCTCTTGAGAACTTTATCCACTGCTCCAATGTATTATAGTTGCCCTAGTGTATGACAACACATACAATCTTTATTATAGAAAGCCAATGCTTGAGCTGTTGCCTCAAATTGCATTCCATTGTATTCAGCACTATAAATTAAATAACCACAACCTGAGAGATAAGAATTTATAAAAAACCAATAAGTTGTTCATGTTTCAGACTACACCTTACTAACTAATGAACAGAATCATCAATTTCCTAAAAAGTCTAGATCTCCTTCCTTGATCTAATTTATGTAGATACAGAGACCATCTAAAGATACACGGGACACTTATAAGTTAGTAAAGACATGAGTATTGTGCACTGATATACATAATGGTTTTAAGTAGAGGAAAGATGAAGCACTGATAAAATAAGTGAGTATGAAGAGAGGGGTTTAGGTTAATGAAAACAGTGTGCTCTTGATACTCAGAGTAAACATGAACTTGTTCTTTCTTGCATTCTTCTAACATCTTATATGAAAACAGAAGGAAGTTGCTGTTTGTAGATTGCCTGAGGAAGCTTGACAGCTTCATTCACGATGTCTTACAACAACCAAGTCTCATACTTCCTTGTTCTCCATGTACTTAACAACTATCACAAACATGGTCATTACAGTAATTAATCCTATGGTTATCTAAACTAGATCGTTTCAGCTGCTTAAGAAGAATAAAACCCATATGCAGAATTCTGTTATTTGAAGGGTGCCATCCTCCACTTTCTGAGCATCTCAGTAAGTTCAGGAAATGAGAATAAAAATCTCTAATTTGTAACTGAACAAATGAAAAAACTTAGGATATCGGCCTCTTCTAGCTCATGACTTAGGCAGTCTGTGTGCTGTCAGTACTGATTAAAATCTGTAAAACCAAGTGATCGAAATTTATGTTAAGCAGGGTATAAATAATAAAGTACATATTTTACATTTATGTAACTGGTATGAATATACTATAATTTAAATAAAACTATAAATAATTATTAATATAGGTAATTATATGAATTGATACGTAGATATAGCAACTCAATATAAAGTCACATTTAAAAATTTTGACTCTTATAGCAAACTCAGTACATAGTTGTGACTTTGATTCACTAAAATTGTACATTACCTTCAGTATCCTTTCTGTGTAAGTCACAACTCCTTTATGACACCTAAGAGGAATTTACTACAAACACTCAATATCTATAAAGCTTTAGGATAATACTTGTTTTTTTTCTAATGTCCTTTCTTGACAAACACCTCATTGTCTGAGATATTTAATGCAAATAGCTTAAGAAAAATAACCTATCCTTAATGTAATATCTCTATTTGTTAGCATAATAATTATAGAAATCCAATTTACATATCTTGACCATCACTGAAATCTTGAGATTTTCATAGTCTTAATTCAGTATTGATGTCCCATAATTTTATCTAAATTGTGCCATTTATAATTTAAATCTTGGGTTGAATTACTGTTAAAAATTGTCCCCTTTATCATATGAAATCTTTCCAATACATGTTAACTTATTAATATTTTATATTGAACAACAAATCAGTCTCTACACCAAACTCAGAATAATACTGTCATTTCTATTGTTTGGCAGAGGACCAAAAATGGAAAAATACATTTGTGAGATATATCACTGAGGTTATAATATTTTCATTAGAGTGCCATTTCAGGCTAAGGAGATGAGCTCTTTTGTCTGAATATTGTTGAATTGACCTTTCTTAAAGATCTCCTCCATACCTTAAATATACTCACACACGGTATAGTCAAGGTAACCTAGCTGTTGGCTAATAATTATCAGCTTGCTTGTACAAGTGCTGCATGATGAAATACTATTAAGTGTAAGAGCTACCAAATGAAAAGTAAAACATGATTTCAGTTTTCCAGATAGTTATTGTCTCCATGATTCATGTAATTCTTAAGTGGTTGTAAGTGAAAATACCTTGTCTTTTCACTACAATGTTTTCTATTTTCCTTGCACTAAAGAAAATTAATGACCATCATATGAAAACATAAAAAAACACCACTTTTAAATTGTGAGCTGTTATTTGGATTTCAGATTACTATTTTTTTTTCATTGAAATCAAATTAGAAATGACCCACACAATTTTATCCATCACAATGTTCTGTGAGGTGAGGTTAAACCGTGTTCATTTAATGATGGCTCATGAACACCATGAAGGGATAATTTTAGGTATCCTGGATAGATTTAATGACTTCATAGTCTAATGTTCTCGGTTCCATTGTCATCACGATCTCCATTCATACACCATGTACCTTTGAAATTTGTATTAATTACTCGCAAAGGGCAAAATCACAAACAGTATTTGTAACAGTAGACATCAACTGCTCTGCTTTGTTCATTAAAGTGAACGTGGGATCTTTTCATCTTCAATTAAAATTGCTAGAATGCTTTTGTAATGACTACATTTGTAATATCGCTAAGTGATTTATTCTTTAGAACAATTCAGGGGTTGGAGTGATAACTAAGTCTGTAAAGTTTGCAGCACAAGCCCAAACAATTATGCTGGTATGCACTTGTGAATATAATGCTGGGGTATTGAATACAGGAGGATCCCTAGAGGTCACTGGTCAGGTATCCAAACAGAATAGATGGTCTCTAGGGTCAGTAAGATACTTTTCTCAGTAAGGTGAACCACAATAAAGGAAGATATTTCATGATGACAGGAACACACACACACACACACACACACACACACACACACACACACACGGGCTCACATGGATGTACATGTGCACACACATATACCACACACAAGAAAAGAAAGAATAATTAAAATTAAATTTGAAGAAACATCAGTTGCCTAGTCATTGACTTGTATATTAACTATAGTTCTCTCGCTGCTTGATTTACGTTGCTGAAAAGTCACTAACTCATTCATCTTTTAAATTAAAATTGTGCCTCAACCCATCCTAATGTCTGAGGCATAGACTGTCATGTTACCGTTTAGTATCTTCATGGTAGCTTTGAGCCTAAGTGTAATGTGTTCCTCTGCATGTTTTAGCTTACACTTTCTGTATGTATATGTAAAGCTTCGGAAGATAAGATTAATAATACTGATTGCATGGCGTTTAACATTAGAAGGTTGATGGCTGCTTTGATATAATTTCATCATTTCCGTGTTAATTTTTGCCATAATAAGTACTAACAAGGTTTTTTTTATATACACTCTTGTCAGTGGGTTATAGAGCTAGTGCTAGAGAAAGTAAAGCAACAACATTAACAGTACCAGAGCAGCAAAGAACGACTCATCACCGCTCACGGTCGGTGTCTCCTCATCGCGGCGATGATCAGGGAAGGCCGCGTTCACGTTTACCAAATGTGCCATTACAGAGGTAGGTTTGGAGCAGAGTTAATGTCCTTGACAGCACTTTCTTTCTTATATTTCAGTATATTTTTGCCTTTAGTCAATAACTGCAATGAAATGATGATTTAGCCAATCAGGTTAGAAGCATTTTGCCATTTGTTAGCAGAGCCCTAACTTATCCCACAAGGATTCAAAAAGCTCAGCACTGGAAAAAAAAAACAAAAGAGCAAAAACTGAACAACAGTTTTCTGAAAGAATATATTTTACAAAGATATAGTATTATCTCTTTGAAGCGGTTTAAGTGCTGGAAGATCTTTATCTCTCTCTCTCTTTCTCTCTCTCTCTCTTTTCTCTTTCTCTCTCTCTCTCTCTCTCTCTGTGTGTGTGTGTGTGTGTGTGTGTTCTGTTTCCTATGACCTTGAACATACTTCTGAATCTGTAATTATATTGGGAAAAAATGAGACATAGGCAAAAATAAAAACATATTCTCCTAATTCATTGAGTAAAATTGTCTTGGGTGAGCTGTCAAAACCTTTTTCCAGGTTATATGTTGGCCAATCACAGTTAATTCTTTCCCTTTTTGTCTGTTGATTGTTTGGGGGAAAACTATATACTTTGTCACATGAATTTTTGTGGAACATTTTAGGAGCTTAGATGAAATTCATCCAACAAGAAGGTCACGTTCTCCAACCAGACACCATGATGCCTCCCGAAGTCCGGTCGATCACAGATCCAGACATATGGAAAGTCAGTATTCATCAGAACAAGAAAGGTACTTTTCCAAAATATAATGTCAATATTATAAAGTATAATCTCAATGCTGCTATCTTCCTTTGTTCTGTTTTAATATGTACATATATTGCAACATGATATATGAAAGAGTTAAATTACATCATTCAAAATCGAACTTCTCTCCAGCAGTTTTGATATCCTTACACATATGCAACTAGAAGATATTCAGTCAAGGTTATATTCATATTTATATGTAGTTGCGATGCTTCATTGACTTAGATTCTTACCTAAATTGTAGAAGAAAGTCTACATGAGCAATTTTGAAATACTTTTCTCCATGGATCATATGCTTGGAATATTGTTTTTATAATTATAAAAATTACATTGTTTAATGAATTAAAATATTTTTGATAATGGTCCTCTAAAAGGTTATTTCTATTGCAGACTCTGAAAACTCCAATAAGGTCTTGTTAAATACCACTTTCTTTTTTATCAAGTGTCTTCTAATGGATGTCTATGAAATACAAATATGGAGGTAGATTGTTATGTGGATGTGTACATTATTATTCAGCACTTATTGATGATAAAAAATTTTGTGGAAATTGTTAGTAGGAATCTGAGTAATAAACATATTTTTCCTCATGCCCACAGACATTCCTTTCAAAATAACCACACGGAAATGTTGGATGAGCCTAAGCGTAGTGCAGGATCTATGTTAAAGTATATGAAACTTACCTTGTTGAATATTCTCTTCTGGTGTTTCAGAAGTGGAGAAAAGGTCAGGGAGGGTCAGAAAAAGGACAGTGGTGTTGAATGACGGATAAGATGGACTCAAGGACACAAAGCCCAAGCTGAGCATTTTATGTTACTTTGGGAAGTGCTGCTGTGAATCATACTGGGTACTGGGGGGACAGAGTTGCTCAGTGGAATGAGAGAGTGAGTCCTGGGTTGCTAGCATTCGTCTGGGTCCTTGTGAATAGTAGTGAGGTGGCAATAAGCAATGGGCTACATGGCCAAGGCAGTCAATATAATTAAAATTATGTGGTAACAGAAAAAAATACTTAGTTTGTAATAAAACCCTACTTAAGCAAAACATGACATGATACTATGTTCTCAGTGGCTACTAATGATTAGGAAATTATCATGGAGTTAGGTGACTAAAAAGGAAATAAAACCATTTATTTTTCCAATAACACCTGAAAGGTCAAACTTGTAGTTACTAAAATGACTGTACTTGGAAATGTGTTCCTGTATTTTTGGTGGGGGGAAGATTGCTTACCTTACCTTTTTATGTTTTATAAAATTGTTTTGAATCATTAAGTAGTCAGTCAGCAAGAGTTAAAATTTCAGCCATAATGTTTGTGCTCTATTGTTTGAATTCTTTAATGCTGTCATGTTTGTTTATTTATTTATTATTTATTTATTTATTTATTTATTTATTTATTTATTTTGTTTAACCTCTCAAGCAAATATGCTAGTGCAGACAATCTGGTTTCTTCCCTCTCCATGTTCTCATTGGCATACCATTGGCACAACCCATGTCATCTAATGCCTCATGATTTATCTGTCTCACTCACCACCCATCCTGTCTGTGCAGTGAGCTTCTCATGCTGCCCAGAGCAAAACGAGGACGAAGTGCAGAGTGCCTACACACGACCAGGTAAATACAGGGATTCGGTAATGGTGATTGTGTGTGATGACTCGCTTCCCTTCTGCTATTCTGTCCCCGCTGTGGCAATATTATTACTACACATAGAATTCCCTGACCATTCAAATGTTATCTATTATTTCATATGGAGGTTATGGAAACTTTCGAAAACCATTTAAATTGAATCAAAGCAGACCACTCCGACATCAGCATATTGAAAAACCCAGGGACTGGTGAGCCTTGTTGGAAATCTTTCCACACCCATCAAAGTGAGGAACCAGTTTCATGAATTCGGAATTGCCCATTGTGAGCTCACCCTCTTCACATCTGGACTTAAATACCTGTCTAGTCACAAAAGTTCTGATCTTCCGTGCATGGCAGGTTTACTGTTTTCATGATTGTGGTTTTGTTACTTTGGCCGTTTGTTTCCTTTCAGAACCTGCTACCATTTATGTTCTGTTGCTCTGTTTGTATTTAAATGCTTTCAGTTCATTTTTAATGGCTTAGCTTCAGGTTCCTTATTGCCCCGGCCTCTACCACTTTAGAAATGTTGCAAAAACAGACTTCCTCCTGAGGACATAGAGCAGTGCAGCACCTCTTAAAGTTAGAAGAAAGGGGACATTATATTCCCTTGCTTAAAGCATGAAGCAGTGTGTTAGGCTTGTATTCATCAGCTTTCAAATCTGATGAAAATCACTTTTTATTACTAGTAGGATTCTACCCAACTAATCATTCTGTCAGTTTGAAATCAACAGAATGTTGAGTAAATTAGTGAAAAGGGCACAAATACCGAACCCCCCCCCCCAGTCTTAAAACGTTCAAGGAAAGAAGTTTCAAGGAAAGAACCGCTAAGGCCACACCTAGAACACAGAGACACCTCAGGATTCACCGTTTCCCTGCGTGCCATGTGGTTCTGATCAAATACGTGATCATGACCGGGCTAGCAAGAATTATTTATAATTTACACATCTAAAATGATCCAGCTGCTAATTTTTATTGAGTTCATTTTTGTAAGGCCACATGAAAAATGAGGAAAAGTTAGTTCTGTGTATAAACTGATGGGAAAGTAGAAAATTATAAATGTTTTTAAATTACCTTAAATTATTTTTTGCTAAACTCTTCAGGCTCGTTGGCTGCTCATCCAAGCCAAGGATTCTAAATACCAACTTTTTTTTTTTTTAACAAGTTCTGAAAGTTTTCTATTTCTGTCTTTGTGACTGCCACTAGTAAGAAAGGAAAAAAAAGATGCACACATACATTTCTATTTACCTAATTTGTGCCTGGGATGTACACCAGTAATCTAAATAAAAGAGGTGTCTTTTCATTTTTTTATCCTGTACATTTCAAGGTGAAGCATTAGGGCTTTTAAAACTATGCCATGACTCTAGTTGCATCATTTGATATAATCTCATCCTTAATACAAATGTTTCACAAATTAGTCGAAACTCCATGTATCTTAGATATGTATCTTCCTATGAGCAAATTTTTAAGCTCATACTAAATTTACTGTACTCTATGTCACAGAATTTAACAGTTGAAATCTCTGAAGTATTGTACTAATAATAGTTTGTGAGTTAAGCAAAGATTGAAAACTCCAAATTGAATCCCAGAAGTGCATATGTTGAGAAAAAAAAAGGGGTTTAAAAAAAAACTATATCATGTTAATCAATTTACAACAAACTGTTCATCATAAGTTACATTCTTCATGTAAAAGTTCTCTGGAGGCAGGGCATGCAGGAAATGCTGTACCTGCCTTAGCATGTCCTACATACTTCATAAATATTATCCATTTAATTCTCATAGCTCCATGATTAATTGATGGTATTTCTTCCATTTTGTTTATTTAGAAATAGGCTTAGAGTCTTGATGTGAGTTTTCCAGACTCCAATCAGTATGTTGTAAAGCCAAGATGTTTATACACTAAATTTTATGCCATTTTCCTTAATTGTTTCTTATTTCGTGTAGATGCCCATTAGAAAGTTCCTGGTGGGGGGGAAACTTGTGAAGCAATTCTGTTGAAAAGTTTTATAGAAACCTGTCATTAAAGATCATTTTCCAACGCTAAGAGATGGAGAGAGAATGGAGCTTTAAACAGGTTGAATACTTGAGTACTTCAGCATTGATTTCCCTGGTTTATGGCTGAAAAGATACTCTTAAGACATTGTTACATTGAGGCTTCAAAGGATTTCCTCTCCTATGACCATTAGGGTAAATATGATTATGCCAAGCGATTATTAAATATTTAGTGACTTTGGTAAATACATCTTTCCTTTTTGTAATTAGCAGCAAAGACTGGAGAACATTATTAAATTTTATTTTAAAACCTATTAATTACCTGTATTACCTTGCCCTTACAGGACAGTGTAGCTACCTGGCATGTTTTGCAGAGACTCAAGCAAATTTGGGCCTTGCTTTTGCCACTTAATGCTGATCAGTTCCGTTCATCAGTGTTTCTTGCAAATGCTGGTTAAACCTTTAGTCTTCTTTAAACTCCAAAATAACATCAATTAGTGGATTTGTAGTTTTAACTCTGAGTTCTTTTCCACACAGGAAATATAATATATATTCAGCTAGGGATTAGAATTGCTTTAATATTGGTTTGTACTTCATCAAACCTATCAGATATTTCCCCAAATAAGATAATTAAATTATAACTTAAAATAATATGAACTAACCAGTGACTTCATTTTTTATATTTCTGATCCTTCCATAAGATAATTCTTGTGACTTCTCTGAAAAAGACTAGCAAAACCAGTTTTACCTAGCTTTATTTAGGCCCCCTACTTCCTTAATGTTGTAGTGAAATTCATTTTATACTTTTTGTTTTGTTTTGTTTTCCTGCATGTTTGTGTTGCCATGTTCCAGATATCTTGTTAGGCACTCTAAAACATTACCACCCAAGATGCCTTTGTTGCAAAACCACTATCGTTGGATCAACAGGTAAGAGCCACCACAATGAGCTCTGCTTGAACTAATCCCGAACCCCAGCCAACATAAATGGGAAAGACACATCCTCATTTGTTATCCTCATTTGTTATTTACATTATACTTTGAACTAATTGTTCAAGAAGCTGTGTCTCATTGAAGCTATCTAAAACTGATGTAATAATAAACACATATTCTAGAATAATTATCTAAATGAAACACAATTCAGAGTCAGAATTCTGCTTTTTTATCATTTGCTTGTTGACTGTAGTTACGGTGTTTAATTTTATTTTGTTTTACTTCTTGAAGCACAATCCTGCCTGCATACACTAAGACCAGATCAGTGACTAGACAGGACATTCCCCTTTAGCCTGAATGTTGAAACTTGAGAGTGCTGAGATTGACTGATGAGTTATCTTTAGCTAAGAGTGTCAGGAAGTGAAGTCTCCTACTTCCCCTGTCTAGTGCTGTGAACCATAAGAGTGGAGCTGTATGGTTATTTCTCCTACGATGTCCTTCATTTTGTTTTGGTGTGGCATCTGTCCTTGGTAACGAAGTTTTAGGCATTTTGTTTTAAATGCTTCCTGTATCCAGTTTTTTTTTTTTCATAAGTAGGTGTGATTTAGTGTCATATTTCAGCCTGAGATTCTTCTCTTTTTTTTAAAAAAAAAAATTATGCAACACAATTTAAGCATAATATTTGTTTACTTTCTAAACAAAAGTTTATACCATCATCCTGTGGCTCTCTCACACCCTTATGAACGGAATCACAGCGATTCGACACTCTGTGTGACAAAGAACATTATTTTATGCTTTCCTTTCTAACGTGGTCTTCCTTTCTTTCCTTTGTCTTTCTCTTCTCCCACTGGATGTAATGCGCTGGCACTAGCGACCTGCAGCCCTCTCTTGCCAGGGCTAAGAGTGCTAGTACCAACTGCTTGAGACCAGACTCTAGTTTGCATTCACCAGAACGAGAAAGGTATAGAGTGAAGACTTTCTGAATTTCTTACCCTTTGTACCGTGACCTTGCCCTTTTCAAATCGCTCTGTTTTTGTTTCGTGTGAGTCTCATAAATTTATCCACCATGCCCACTCTCTTGCTGTCCTCGTTTCCTTCCCTTAGTCTGTATGTGTGCATCTGTGTAGGGATATGTGTATGTGGATGTTTGTGGAGCCCACATATGCATATTTCTATGAACGTTGCAAATGGTTTGATGTAACCTGTAAATGCTTCTGGCTGCTGCTTCTCTTTTTTGTCTCTGTTGGCATTGTCCTGTTTCTGTGACTCAATGAGCCTTCGGTATGCTGATAAGGCCATAGGTTAGTAAGTTATTTAAAGGGTGGGTATTGATTACCTGTTAGCTGTGCCAATAAATAATATTTATAGATCTCACAGCAATCTTTCATGAAGTTAAAAAAAATTATTTTGAGATAAATCATTTATCTTTAGCACTTTTAAATTAACCCACTTTTTAGATAAATTGTGCTAAATTATATTTCGTAAAAAAAAAAAATCAAAGATTTCCTGAGACCTTCCAAAAGTAAATAAAAGTAAATACATATAATGTGTATACACATAGATCATTTTTGTTAAAGCTCTTGTATGACTTATTAATAAGTACTAACTCTGATCTAGATACAGCCATTGATAATGTGTTATACCCTCATCTAATTGTAAGTGAATGAAGCAATTGTTCCCTTTTTATAAAACTTTCTATTCCTGTAAACTTAGTTGTAACTGACAGTCTTGGTTGTAATCACAGTCTTTGTTAAGTTAGAAGTCATTCATAGGAAATTTAGAAACAACTTCTACAAATTCTGAAGTGAAACATTTGGTTGTACTAACATAGTCCTCTTTGAACATAGTTTAAGGTTTCTTATTACTAATCTTTGTAGCCTATGAGATGTTTGTTCCCCGGAATTAAACAGAAGATCTTCAGAAGATTATACTAACAAGCCTTTCTTTACATTATTAATAGGTATGAAACTTAAAATAGGAAAAATGAAATGCCATAGTTAGGATTTCTATTGCTGCTCCTAAACACCATTACCAAAAAACAAGTGGGGGAGGAAATGGTTTAGTTGGCTTACACATCCACAGTACTGTTCACCATAGAAGGAAATCAGGCCAGGAGCTCAAACAGGAAGGATGGCGAAGCCACGGAGGGGAGCTACTTACTGGTTTGCTGCCCCTGGTTTGCTCAGCCTACTTTCTTATGGAACCCAGGAGTACCAGCCCAGGGATGGCACCGCCCACTATGGGTTGGACCTTCCCCAATTGATCACTAAAGGAGCAAAATTCTTCCAACTGGATCTTAAGAAGTCATTTCCTCAGTTGAGACTCCTTCCTCTGATAACTGTAGCTTGTGTCCAGTTGACACCCAAAACCAGCCAATGCATGGAATTTATTTGCATTGCATTCCTTGCATTAGCATTATCACTATTGTAGACTATTCCAAAACTGTAGCTGAAATAGTCTTGCTATTCTGTCATATTTATCCTACTCCCTAAATAATTACAAAGATAGCATCATTACATTTTATCAGGTTTCGTACTATCAATTCATTTTTATTTATGATAAATATTAAAACAGATGTTTAAATAATCAGGTTAGTGAAATTTTCTGACTGTAACAGTACCCTGAAATCTTTAATATTTAGACGAGTACTCCCTGATAAAAGTATAGTTGAAGCCACGTGTGTATTTTTAAATTTCTCTGTAACTATACTAAAAGAAATCTAAATAAAGTCCAGCCTAGCATTAGATAGCATTATGACATGTCAGTGATAGTTGTGAGGGAGATGGTGTGTATTCCTCTTTGCATGGTCAGTCATGGATATTGTATTTATAACACAATAATTTGGACTTGTCACATTCTTCAGACAGCTTTATTGAAAAGCATGTCTCACGTATTTGCCTTTGAGACATTGAAGCTACAGAGTTCACAAATCTGTGCTTTTATAAATTTAAATATCTTAAACAACACCATTAAAGTGGGCCAGTCTGTATACCAGAATGCTAATCATAATTATTGCATAGGTTGTTGTGAAGTCTGAGTTGAGCTCTCGCCTTTAGCAATAGACAAATGGTAGATTGGAAACCTATACTCCTGAATGTTGAATAAAAAGAAATTTCCCATTAAAATATCTGGAGAGGGGAGGATCATCAGTGCTTCTCTATTTAATGAGGTCACTTAGCTGCTGAGAAAATAAGGGTTTGATGTTGTTTGTCAAGGAAATGCTGAAAGCTGTAGGTGAGTGGTGTTGTAAAGAGAGGACCCTTCTGTGCATGCAAGTGAGCCCTTTTGAAACAGGTAAAGCAATGTAGAAAGTGGGCATTGTTCACTTTGCAGGGTACCTTTCATGTTGCTTGGAGCAGAGACAAGGGAGCTGTAGAACCCTTCTGATCGTCGGGCGTTGGTGACACACACCTTTAGTCCCAGCACTCGGGAGGCAGAGGCAGGAGAATCTCTGTGAGTTCGAGGCCAGTCTGGTTTACAGAGCAAGTGCCAGGACAGGCTCCAGAGCAATACAGACAAACCCTGTCTCGAAAAATCAAAAAATAAAAAATAAAGAACCTTTCTGATTCTCCTTTTGTTGATTCAAAGCCTTGCCACATTAATTTCCAACCCACACCCATGTACATATACATCATATACATATATGATGAAATGCCAAACACAGCCTTAGAATTTAGTTTCATTTTCTGAATAGTACCACTGTTTCCACAGCCTTCCCAAATACTGTTTTAAAGTTTAAGAGCTCATGTTGCTACTACACACAGTTTGGTTATACCAACTACCATTTCCTTAAGCACCCTCCTTGATTGTAAAACAAATTATGATTGATATTAATGCAGAGGTATAACTGTCAAACAGGCTCAATACTAACAGCAGAATTTAGTAAGCTTTTGAACACAACACAATGTACTCTTTCTTAGGTATCTCAGCCCAGGCTCCTGAGCATTTGGAGTACCGAGTCCTGCATAGAGGAGTACTGTTTGCCTGTCTGGTTAGAAGCCTCTCCGTTGTACATTGTCTGTCCAACAAAACCAAGTTCTCTTGCTTCCCTGATGGGAGGAGGTTGCCCTGATGGTCTAAACTTTTTCTTTACTGTGTTTAATAATGAACAAGGGTCATACACACTCACAGACATTGGTGCTTGGAGAGACTGGAGGGTGCTTACTTTCTCTATAGGATGTAGATTCTCCTATGACCTGACTTCACAGTCACTGCCTTACTGCAAGCTCGTGAAAGTGTTTATTACTTGCTCCCTGCATTTTTTAAACATCCTCTGACTCCATGCCACAGGCCCTTCACGGGCTACACTACCTTGACTGTTAAACCTTATTTTACCACATGGTATCTGGTCGCTTGAACCTGTGCTCCTTAAACAGTGCCTCTTAAATGGCTAATAGACATAGTTCCTTCTGTGAGCTCCTTTGCCTTGTTTATTCAGTAAAGAAAAGTCACCTCCATGTTTCTCCCCTTTTCCTACTCATATTTTCCTTTAAATTATATTCATTTCAAAGATTCCACTCTGTCCCCTGAGGTTAGCCAGGACAGGTTGTCTTTCCTGAGAACGGAACCCAAATTTCTAAATGATGTTAGACACTCTGTGCATTAAAATGTCTAGCTAGCCTTCATTATTTCAACTTTGAGCCCTATGTGTTCCTCACATTTGATGAGTGAAGTGGTATAGGCCTGTCATTCCAGAACCTACTTGGTGTGAGCTGATGGTTGATGAATTTGTGTAGCCTAGGCCACACAACCAGTGAAGGACCAGTTAGTTCTAGTAGAAGGGACTGACTCTCGACACAAACAAACAAACAAAAAGACGAGCACACCAGCGCTTCTACCTGGCCACTTAATTTGTAATTATTTCTCCGGTTCCTAATCCAGCAAGCCGGAAAATGCTATTGATTTCGTCAAGGTGAACTACCTGAACTGAATTCTTCCCAGTCCTTTTCTTAGTCCTTTCCATCCACATTAACTCCCCAGTATGGTTTGATAGTAATCTGTATTGTGTTCTCTCTCGCAACTGCCCCATTGAGATTAAGATAAACTTTTGTTTCTGTTGTAAGCTTAACAGTTAGTTCATTTTTAAAAGTTCATGGTAAAAATTTTCTAAGACTTCTTCATTTAGTGTCCCCCCTGATTTTTTTTTTCTTTTTCTGTTCATAGCTGTTTACTATTTTCTGGGCCCAAATGATTTTATGTATTTTTCTTGGAAAACTAAATCTGGCCAGATGTGGTGGTGTATGCATTAAACACAACAGTTGGGAGGCAGAGGCAGGTAGATCTCTGTAAATTTGAGGGCAGCTGAGTCTACAAAGTGAGTTTCAAGCCAACCAGGGCTACATAGTAAGAACCTATCTCAAAAATAAATGAAGGAAGGAAGAGAGAAATGACCCCCCCCCCCAAAAAAAACTCCACAACAAAATCTAAACCTGTATGTCATATTTCTGTTAATCCACTTTGTCTAGAAACTGTTTGCTTCCATAATGTTATAAAGCTCTGTGGTTAGAAAGAACATGGTATTTGTATATTTTATATCTGCTGATAGTATTATCTTCTTTATTTGTGTTTAATTTGAAGTAATGGTCTTGACATTCTTTATTCATTCATCCCTAAATATGGGTCCAGATATGAGCTAGATCCAAGGAGGTAGAAATGTGATCTAAACTTATTACCAGAAATGCAAAGAGTAAGTTTGCAAACATGGTGTTGAGATTGCTAGTAGAGAATCCAGAAATTCACCAACTCATAAAATCATGGGATGCTTAAATTACAAGATGAGGTTCCATAATTTATGGCACCATGAAGGTTTGTTTTCTGGCACGTTTCCTTTTTGCAGCCAGCCTGCTTAGAAAAGAAGAATTCAATTGCTGGTAGCCGATCCTTTATTTGGAAGGTGGGAGTTACAAGAATTAGGTCCAAAGGAAAGGAAATTCCTATGAAAATGTCGAGCACTATAAATAACATGACATGTATAAATCACCATAAAACATATTTTTGCATTGAAAATATATGTTTAATTAAGAATGAAATTTAGTTTAAAATAGTTTGGGAAGGTTATGAATAAGGAAAATTCACAATGAAGATGCATACCTGATTAGTCAGTTAATTCACTTGGCTTTGGTTTCTATTTAAATATATCAAAAAAAAAGATTTTGACACGTGTTTTCATCGTATGAATTATTTACATCTCTATATCCTTTTACTTATAGAAAATTAAGGTATTTTGTCATGCTATGATTAGATTAGAAGTATGATTATGATTAGAAGTATGCACACATGGAAATTGTATATGCATACAAGAATGTGTGCTAAATATACATTAAGCTACACACATTTATACTATATTATACTTCTAGAAAAGAAAAAAAGCCATACGTTAACAATAATTTAATTCTTGTAGAAGTCTGTTAAGTCGAATTCCTTTATACCACATTACGAATTTCCCTTATGTGTTCATTAGTTCATCTGTGCATAGGGCACTTGTTTGTAAAGTGGCCATTAAGCCTAGAACCTTTTTTACTTATTGACTCCAAGATCAGTGATAATTGGAGAAAGAGCTGTACCTGGAGTATGCACTTTCCACAAAGTCTAAGATCGTATGCTGCTTATTAATTTTCATGTTATGTCTGCTGAAGGCTATTCTAAACTATTAGAAAATAGAAATCCTTTCCTTTTGTATCCACAATAATAATATAAAATATTTGTTCAAATAATACCTGCTTCTTCTACATTGGTGAATTAAGAATACTTTGTGAAAAAAAAGAATACCTTGTGAAATTTACTAATAATATCCAAAACATGAAACTAATTTAACTATGCTATCTGAAAAGAAAACCAAGAAGAGACTTGTTTACTTCAATTTGATATTTGAAATCTAAAATTGCCAGACTTAATATCTTATGACTTGAAACTGGAAGTTGAGATTTTATTTCTTCACACACGAGAATAGGAGAGACAAGCAGAAACAGATCTTATTGTTTTTCCTGCAAAAGTAGAAAGACAAAAATGTGCTAGTATATTTAAAACTTTCAAGTATGTGACATTGAATCATGACATTAATTTGGGGGCTAAAATATGGGTATAAATTGGTCCTGCTCTTACTGTATTCAGTAAAATTAGTGGGAAAAGCACAGGTTTTGTGATGATTCTACATATCAGCATATTCAGAAGGACTTTGAGAATTGAGAAGTATATGTGTTATGCTAAGTACTTGTTCAAAGTTGCCTCTTGAAAGAGTGCATTCACAGTTGCTCGTTCTAAATATACACCTTTTTCCATCACAGCTTTTCACTGCATGTGTCATGATTGTGTTATTTTCCTTCATTTTTCCCTTTACTTTTATGTTTAAATAAGTACAAGGACTGGAATTCTGCCTCCAGAAGCAAGGTCACTCATAATCCTGCCAAGTTAAAATTACCGCATTGGAAGAAACTGGGAACTCTAATTTTATGTTTCCAATTATCATCAAATGCTGTGATACAAGTACACATAGGTAGAAAGACTATAGGTATAGATACTTCTTACAATAGCTTCCTTTAGTTGATATGTGAAACAACGCCAGCAAATAGAAAGGAACATTTTTAAAAAAACACACAGACTGGCTCTGCTGAGATCTTGTTTACACACACAGAGCAGACTCAGTTACTGCAACCCCTGGACCCCTTCCTGTCTTTGATCTCTCTTACTCTAGGTAATAACATACTATGAAAATACATACAATCATATTATTCAGTAGATCACATTTTTTCTCATTAACTCACTGAGTGCCAGTCTCTATAGAATGAGAACTGATTCACATGTGTGGTTTTTTGTTTGTTTGTTTTGAGACAGGGTTTCTGTGTAGTTTTGGAGCCTGTCCTGGGACTAGCTCTTGTAGGACAGGCTGGCCTTGAACTCAAAAAGAGCCACCTGCCTCTGCCTCCTAAGTTCTGGGATTAAAGTCACCACCGCCCACCTCACATACGTATTTATACTCCTTGAAATGCATACTCTGAGTAAAGGAATATTTGTAGGTTCGTTATAACAGTAGAAACTGGGTCAGTATAGAATAACTGGATAAAGAAATGGACCTAGAATATGAATGAACTTAACACTAGGTCCAGGATTTCTTCTTGCTGATAAATGCTATGTTACATCTTCTGAAGACTATTGTCCAGTATTAGAAACTAGGAATCCTTAATTTTAAAATCTACAGGGGCATTAGAGTTTACATTCAGTAAATACATGTGACTTTTTTAATGATCTTGATGTTTTCTAAAGGTTTTTAATAGAGACTTCAAGTTAGGTATGATCCTCCAACTTTCCTTGTACCTCAAATTGACCTATGAACAAGAAGTTATGCTTTAGTGTTTAAAATATGAGTACTTTGGTAACACATGATTTAAAATTCCTTTTTATAAAGCTGTACGAAATTTCAAACATTTCCCTGATATCCTAGAGGGCAAAAATAAATAAAAGAACTTTGCCTGGGATACTTGGCATCTATAAATGTAATCCTTATCCCTCTAAAAGGGTTAATTTCCAATACTTGGAAATTCCAAGCAAGAAGGGCTGTCCTGAAATTTACGGTCCCTCACCATACAAAGCATAAAGAGTTTGTGCAGCTTATCTACATTCTACATCAATTTAATCCCAGTTCTCAGTGGCTCCAGTGTGAACTAATGCCAAAGGATTTGTCAAGCAGTAAGACTAGGCAAAAAGAAACTGGAAGTTTGATGGAATTGAGAAAATTTTGAATTGTTAAATAGGTTTAGCAAAATAAATTCAGAATGAATTCACCAGTTTAATGAACAACAAAATGATTAAGTAATTAGACTTGGCTTAATGTATTATAAATATAATAATCACTTCAAAATTGAGGAGCAAATGGCACGTAGTTTAGTTTTTCTTCATTTCATAACCTGTTACTTTACATGTTCAAATAACAATTAAATATTGCTGAGTTTTTCTAATTCTGGTGAAAGGAAGATGTCTGGGAAGCTTTCAGTGTCTGCAGATCTCATATTCTAATCACACATTAGCAGCTTTGCTTCTTGTGTTCATAAACTAAAAAAGGCAAGTTTAGCAGCAAGAATGAACTTTCTTCAAATTCAACTGCTACCTATATGTTTTTGCATAGTTTTAAAATCTTTAAAATTAGCCCCTTAATGCTTTTGAGAAAGCCAATATCCAGAGGCATGTTCTGGCTATAATATTGAGACCAGACTTAGTATATGAAATGTTCAAGGCTGACCTGTTCAGTTGTTTTATTTCCTTTAATCATTCAACTAGATTTTATTGGATATACCTAACCTGAATCTCAAAATGATTAATAATAAAGAAGCTTTTGTGCTGAAATAAAATGAAAATGTTTGATGAACTGGAAGATACATTTGTAAATACAGATTAGCAATACTTTTAATATCCCATTTCTTCTAGTAATTATTTCCCACATTAATTTGTTGGTAACTGGTCCTGTAGTTTTCTTCAAGATAACTTGTTAAAAAACACCATTGGTAGCCTTCTTATGAATTATGTTTTCTTGTCATTATTTCTATTCTAAGTGGCATTTATATTATTTTACCTATACCTTGTTCCTGTGAATTAAATTTACATATTTCATCTCGTCACTTGTAATTTCAGGGGCTGATGTCAGCATGTGGGACACATTCAACTTATACAAACATAAGTGATTTCCTTAAACATGCATCTTTCCAAAGTTAACCATGTTCACATTTATTATATTTTGTAGACATGGACATAGATACACATTTCTGAAAATGAAACACTTAATAGACAATGTTCCAAATTTCCCCAAACATGTCTCAACCCACTTGGAAGGTTTCAGATTTCACATTCTGATGTTACTACAACTTAACTAAGTTTATCTAATAAATTATAGAACAAAGAATGAACATGTTGACTTTTGGGGGCATTATTCCAGTCCTACTGCTCCGTATATTCTTTTATTTTAAGAGTTACTAAATGTTCTGTTTTTCTCCTGTCTTGTTCACTGGGCACACAGGGGTAGATGGTCCCCCTCCCTAGATAGGAGGCGACCTCCTAGCCCCAGGATTCAAATCCAGCATGCATCTCCGGAGAATGACAGGTACTAGTCACATCCTCACAGACAAGTGGCTTTAGAGGCTCACAGGCCAAAAAGCGAAGGAAACTGAGGGGGGGAGGTTGGTGATGCCAAGCTTCATTTCATGAGCCCGAGTCAGACATGTGATTCCCCCAATGTTTGTGCATGAGTCTGAGAGAGCAACTCAAAATATTTATGGGAGCAAGAAAGGCATAGAAAATGGCGGCATTTAGAGACCGTCAGGATCCAGTGAAGAGATCTATTTTGATATGTCTTAGTTTCAGGAGTTTTAATTTTTAGAAGCACTTATTGTCTACCTAGGGATGAATAGAATATTTTAGGTACATCAGAATATATTAAAACTGTGCCACAGAAAATATCATTGGTTATGTTGCTTGATAGTTTAATCTCAGCTTAGTTAGTTACTGTGTCTACTTGCTGAGAAGAACTTCTAAGGTTTGGGATGTTTTCCAAGAATGGTGTGAAGAAGGACATCTGGTTCTTGTACTTGATGTATTGTGTTTAAATTATTGTCAAGAGCTAGGGTCAGTCAACTAGGAACATTGTTAAACAAAGCCTCTCTGCATTGAATGCACTCCATACTGGTCTGTAAAGGTGTCACAGTATGTTACTTCCATTGCCATTGTTCTCCTGTTTTGTGATGTCTAAAATGTAAATATATAAATATTATTTCAGTGTTCTCCTATGAATAGTCACAGAAGTCTTGGGATGCATGAGACATTTTTCTTCAGTTGAAATTCAGTGAACACATTCATGAGACAGATACACTCTGAAATGCAGCAAACAACAGATAGTTTTACGAACATATTTATTATTTTGCATTAATTATGTGTCCACTTAGTAATTGTAGTCTTATCAAAATGGTAATGTTTATCTTATGTATGTCTGAACAATTTGGACATCTCCACAATTTGGTAGATAGACCATCTAAATTGCATAAGGCAAATTTGTATCATCTAACAATGATGAGAGAGACTATAAACTGACATTTGATAAAGGTTCCATTTTATTTTTCACTTGATGAATCGTAAAACACCTCTTAATATGATTTGAATTTACATATTCAGAACTCAAAAGTAACCTCCATGCTGCTGTTACATTTCTAGGACTGAATTTATTGAACTAGAAATTTTAATAAAACTTGTGCCCTACATGTGAGCCAGGTCATTTTATATAAGAATGTAACATAATTATAGAAGTAAATTGAAAGATGTAGATCTGTATTCCTGCTCACTCATTCAACAAATTCTGTTGCAGTGTTCACTGTACTTTGATGGATGAAGTCAGGTCAGTGATTAAGACAGCCAAGGTGCTGGCCATGAAGTAAATGAGAACTACCATTTACGATAAAAATCTTTGAATGTGATTAAATCATAGAACAGTGATTTAATCTAAAGTAATGACTCATCCTTACTCAAATTATAATGAACATAAATATGGTTGGGTTGGTATTTTTAAGGAGAATACACAAAATTATAGCTTTATTTTCTTTCTTTTTTACACCATACCTTTTACTCCTCTGCAAAGTGACCGGACTGTTCATATCAAGTGATTCATTTTGACATAAACGTATTTTTCTCTATTGACTATTTTGATGGAATCAGCAAATCTTTGCCATTTTGACTCACACATAATGTCAGTTGCTGCCCACTGGCAGCGCTATTATACAACTACTCACCAACAAAGTGTGCTGTCATTTAGTCTTTCCCAACTTTCCTGTGTCAAAAAGGTAACAAGATGTACCAGACACTAAAATATTAGTACACAAACACACATGAAATCAGTACTCAATGGACCTTAGTTTCATGCATATATATGACCATTACCAATCTTGTTTGAATTTTTATCTCTTCCCAATTAATGAGTAAGTAAGATGGTAAAAAACCATAGACAGAATAAGCATTCTGAACACAGAGATTCATTCTTATGCCATCACTATTTTATATGAAAATAACCACTGATAGATTTATATTTTCCCCTAAACCAAGACATACTTTATTATGTCAAATTTCTAATAAATATTATTAAACAATATTACAAGTTTAAAAATTTGTTGTAAAGTATACATTTTATTATATATACTACATGTATATAAGAAATTTGTGATAACTTCAAAAAATATTTATTTACTCACAATATCAGGTAATTGAATCAATTAAAAAGAAGAGGGAAGTATCCCCCAAATAGATACTAATTATTTTCTATTTTGATTATGTGCTAAGATCTTGACTGCTAAAATTAATGTAAATAAAAAGAACACTTAAATGGAATTTCACAATTGCAAATTTGATTAGAGCTAGGTCCAGGTTTCTAATTACAACCTTTGGTTCAATTCAATAATAATAAATAAACATGTTCTTTATACTTGGATGTGCCTTCACAACTTTTAAATAACTTAATCTCTGCCATGTGGTTATAGGGTTTTATATTTCTGAGTAATCATAAGAACAAATTAAACATTAAGCATCAAATCTAGGAAAATTTTGGATTTTAATTATTTGTATGTTTGATCCATGGAAATATTATGAACAATGAAATAGTGATAAAGATTACTAGAATTTTTATAAAGCTGAAATTCATGAAAATGGGATGGTTGTAGCAGCTAATTATGGTCTGTGGCACATGAACTAAGTTTCATGAAATGTTCTAGCATTGTTTCCATTTAGCTAGTTGTAAATTAGCTAAATTGTAAATTTAGCTAGTTGTAAATGGAGCGTCTGAATTCTCATCTTCTGTAGACTTTAAGATTGAGCCTGAGCCACATGGCCCCATTGTGATAGAGCATGCTACCATAAAATAACTGATAATTCCTCATGCATAAAGCATTAATACGGTAGAAATCATGCTCTAATTCTGCAATTTTCTGTTTTAGTGAATCCCGGAAAACAATACAATTGAATTGTTACATGTGATTTTGATATAAAGCAGATTATATTTTCAGTTACTTCTTTTTTGCTCAATGCAAATTTTGACTGCCAAATTCCACTAACATTGTATGTATGTATATAAATATATATATGTATATATATATTTATATATATGTATATATATATATTGGGTACCATGCAGTATTTTGTTTACATGTATACATTATGTTTAGATCAAGGTAACATATCTGTTCCCTCAAAACATTACTTCAACAATGAAGATACATAGAGTATATTATCATATATTTTTCTCTTGTTAAAATGTAGCATGCTTCTTGACTATCAAAGTATCACTAATAATATTGATCAAACTTTCTCCTTCTCTTTAACACTCCCAGATACTGGCCCCATATTTGTTGCTGCAATTTAGTCATTTAAAAAATCGTCATTATAGCAGTAGTTCTCAAACAAAACATTCAGCAAATACAAAGCATTATGAATGAGTAACATTACAGTGAAAATCCAACTAGATCAAGAATCTGACAGTTGAACCTTGAGGTGATTAATGTACAACATGAAGTATTTCATTTTCCAGTGACCTATTTTGTGATCACCTGAACAATGATTTTGATTGTATATAATATGAATAACATTTATATTATACCTATCTTAATCCTCTATATCCATGATAGGTGTGATTAAATGTGCAATATCCATAGCTATGAATATTGTAAAAGATTTAGAAATTTCTATTTCCATTACTGTTTCTGCTTTCCATGGACTTTTGGCCATTAAAAGTGCTCCGTTTTTCCCTATTTGAGGATGTTCTCAAGCAGTTACAAGAATTATAAAGAAATATCCTTGTAGGTGTTATTAGAAGATACTTCACAAAAATTATAATGGCCTTTAAAGAGAAAAAGAAACCCCCTTAGGAGAAAGGTTAACGCAACAACAGGCAAGGAGATGTGTGGACCTGTGATTGGTTGTAACATTATTTAAAGTTGACTGTAAATTGTACACCATTATAAATTCCTGAGAGTTGGTATGTTTGTTTGTAAATAAATTTTACTCTTATTTAATACTATATCTAAAGGGATTAGACAAAATGGATGACATAATTAAAGCAGAAAGACAGATGAGTGATAAAGGTCTTCTTAAATATCATATATCCTTAATATTGCCAGTCCATCTGGCATCACCATGGTAATCAATCTGCTATGTGACACCATGAAGTTGTAGGACAGGAGAAGAGAAAGAAGAGTTGGAGAAATTCACAGATACAGTATAATCCTAGTTAACTGTAGAAAGCAATAAATTTTTATGATGGACAAGGAAATTGAGCAATCTCTAATAGATGACCATACCTTTCTACTTTTCAACAGCAAAGAGTATGTATATGATATATACAAGATATGATATATACAAGAAATATATGTATGCTAACATGCATGCACACATGCGCACATACACACACACACACTCACACACACTCTCCTACTATATGGTTTGGTAAAATATCACCATCTCAGAGTTTCTTTCTTGAATAACCTGCATACAGTTAAAATCACTTCCCTGTGTTATTATTTATCATTTTATTTGGTGCTGTTCTGGTCTTGACTTTCACTGGTGACAGTGTCAGTTTTTAAAGGCAGAGTTTTACATAACTGATCACAGACACACTCCAGACACCTAACAGTGTCTCACACATAAAGAAGCTCCACAAGTATGTTAAATGAATGGAAGACCTAACAGTGCCTCATGTTAAATGAATGGAAGATGTGGTACACTGGAAAACCTGATGAGAAATGAACCCATTGCTCTTCCTGAAACTCAGTTCTCATCTTTTTCTTTCCTGAAGATGAGCAAAGGATTCTTTGTTCCTCCAGGCCATTGTCCTGATCACTGCTGGGACCACACACAAACTGTCCATAAGGCACACATTACATTTACTTTGATCTCGTGCCCTTCAACCTTTTTTAAACCCACCTCTCCCTTCTCTACCCTTCACTTTGTTCTGTGTTGTAGTTCTGGAATTTTCAGAACATGCATGACCGCTGTCTACCGTAGATTCAGGCATGTGCTCTATTTCTTTCAAGTTAAGAACACACGCCTGTGTTAGAGGAGTGCAATGATGTGAATACAGCTGGCAGAAGTGGACGAAGGTGGAAAAATGTGCAAGGAAGTGTGTACACTTGAGAAAGTAGACCGGTGTGTTGCTGCATGCTTAGTGTCCAGGAATCACTCAATTTAAGTTGCCTATAATTCTAAGTAAGAACAGATACATGACAACATTTTCTGAAGTGAGTACTTTAGACAATGTAATAGGTATAAATTATAGAGATTGAATAAAAGTAGATTTTCTTACAATTTTTGAAAAGTAAGTTTTTGTAGGTCACGATACTTAATATTATTTGTATAAAATGTGTAACTATGCAAAATGTTTGACCCATTCATTTATAATAACCACTTAGACATATATGTGTCTTATATTTATATTATACATTTTATTATGTTATACACCTTAAATACATAACTGTCATAAGTCTTATAGACAAATAGACATTATGCATGTCCATACATAATAGTGATTTTGTTCACACAGTAGTTCCGGCATTTAGGCTAAATGTAAGGTACATTAAGGATTATTTCTTTCTCTTTCACATTCTCTATGTATGTTGCTTTTAGGAGGAAATACCATCTTAATTTCCATATGTTAGGTGTTATGTGTACTTTCTGAAAGTAAAATTAGAGGCTTTGTTGTCTTGTTTTATCAGGCAAAGCTAGCTTTCACATTTCTCCCTACTTAACATTTCTCCCTAACCCTGAATTATTAAGCAATTCTCATGGTTAGTTCAAATGCTTTCATGTCTGTCAACATCTTTCATGTCTTTCCTCTTCACACATTGGTGGAAAACAAAAATAGCCTAGAGCACAAAGTTTCAAAGCTTCAAAATAAATTGTCACTTACCCCTGTGTGGTCTTTCAGCACCTAAACCATTACCACTGTAACACTGATCATCGTAGATTTCATCACTGTTTTTTTTGTTTGTTTGTTTGTTTTGTTTTGTTTTTTTTATTCATTGGCAGAAGTTAAGTTACTGAGGAAGGGTACCCATCACATCATTGCTGTAGGTGTTCCCACTTAAACTAATGCTATGTCAGCTTCTCCTGTCTCCTGTCAGCCACTGTGTCTCCTCCACACCCCCCCAGCATCCATTATGATTTCCCTATTTTATTTATTTATTTTTAATTGTGAATGTCATGACTGACAAAACCATTTAGGTAAGCTAAGTTGTCATTGTTCGTGTGTTTGTTGTTTGTTGTTGTTGGATTTTTTTTCTTTCATTGTTTGATGTGACTGTAGCTTTATTCATCATCTATTTTGTATTTCTTTAACATTTCATCCCCACAGGCACTCCAGAAAGTCTGAAAGATCTAGCATCCAAAAACAGACTAGGAAAGGCACAGCCTCCGATGCAGACAGGTAGGCTCGGTGTGGTGCTGGGCTGCCGCTGCCATCTTCCTTTTTCTGTAGACCTGGGAGTGCCCTGCCTCTCCTTTAACCTGCCAGTGTACAGGCACACATGCTTGTGATGCTTCAAGTGTCCCGAGGAGGAAATGAAACAGCTGCTCTGTGAGCAAAGGGGCCGAAGAAACGAAACAATGTCACTGTGTGCTCTGCTCTTGAATAGTAGGTGTTGATGAAACGAGCAAGTGTGGCTGTTCTGTCGAGGACTAAACACATACTCATTCTTATATATGTGTTAGAACTTCGATATTTTGTTCCTGCAATGACATTAAATGTTTTTAGTGAATCATAACTGGGGAAGTAGAAATGATTTGAGTGTGTGTTAGATAGTTGAATAATATCGACTTTTGAAAAAGTCTTATTTTCTCCAAAGGTATAATCTAAGATTCTTGGTTTATACAGCTGTACTTATTTGCTGTGTTTATTATTTAAAAAAAAAAAAAAACCTATGGAGTTACTGATGATTTGCAGTTTTCACGGTTTTAAAGGTGTGGTACCTTTAGGTAAAACATATTGATGTTTCTTTTGACACATCTACAGAAACACCTTGAAAATCATGGTAACATACATAGAATACTTGTTCATTAGACTGAGAATCCTTAAAAGCATGAGGAGAAATACAGGTTAATGTGTGTGCTCTGTCTCAGATGTATTCCAGTCATAGTAAAAGCAGAGGTATGAATGGGACATTTGGAATTTGAAAATATTCAGTAGACCAGCCTTGCTGAACTAAATCAATAGATAGAACTTGGTCTAAGTTAGAAGTCGGGAAATATGAGGAAAAAATATAAAACTTGAAACTAATTTTTGAGTTTAAATACCTATTCTTGAATGAAGAATGGAAATCAGAGGATCAGAAAGAAAAGGAAGCTAAACCTGGAGACTTCTTGAGAATGTTAAGACTGATATGACCACACCGTGTTAATGTACTGAAGACTTTCAATTTGTTTATGAAAGGCTGCCCTTAAACTGAGGCAGTGGATATTTGATTTTAAGTTTCAGAAGTATAGATCCATTAGAAAACAGTACAGGGGCTGGAGAGATGGCTCAAAGGTTAAGAACAGTGGCTGCTCTTCCAGAGGTCCTGGGTGCAATTCTCAGCAACCACATGGTTGCTCACATCCATTTATAATGAGATTTGTTGCCCTCTTCAGGCATGCATCTATACATGAAGGAAGAACACTATATACATTGTAAATTAAGTAAGTCTTTCAGTTAAAAAAAAAAAACAAAAAGGAAAAGAAAGAAAACAGTTTGGAAGATGCATCAAAAAATTCAAGAGTAGATGATGAAAGACAGCAGGGAGATAGAGCTCATACAGCTCAGTGATTTATTCAGTGCATAAATTCATGACAATTTGAGTTCTAATTTAATGACTAAGTAGTGATAAGCAAAGATAAAGGCATTTCCTTATTAGGGAGTTGAGGAGAGATGTCAAAGGATTTGTTAAAATGCAATCTTACGATACAGAGGTATTGGTCCTTTAGAAGGATGCTTTACAACATCTAGGGAGACCCAATTGAAGTGTGGAATACTACCAGGTAGTTGCCAACAAGGAGTGCATGCCTTTCCATCCTTCATTCTTGGCTTAGGTGAAAACACTAGCCTTTAATATGTGTGGTTTTCTTTGTTTATGATTAAAGTACTTGATCGATTTTTATAGTCATGCAAGTTATGTGACTAACTTTTAAGCAGATTGTTGGATACTGGTTACAAGGGAGTTGACCTGCGTGTTCTATGTCACATTAACTGAAGTTACTGCAGGAGCTCTGAGATGTTGCTAAGGTGAAGTAATTCACCATGTAAATGCCTTCTCCTCTAACTCTCTGCTTTCCTCTCTTCCTCCTTCAAACTCCCTCCTCCCTCCCTCATCCCTTCCCTTCCCTTCCAAGGTCCTGTGATTGTTAGGCAAATTCTCTTACCACTTGGCAATAGCCCCCATCTTGACCTTTGGAAGCTAATAATCTCCACACAGAAATCTGATGTTTGAGTTATGCAATGAATTCTGAAAAGCATTGCTGTGAAATTACCCTGACTTTAAGTTTGTCTGAAACAAACTTGTCATTTGGTGGTACGGAGTCCCAAGAAAGCGTGGTGAAATTCCCTGTGACCTGTTAGAGGTAGAAAACAGGCACACCCCAGCCACTTTAAGGGTGGCTTCATCTTCTCTTTCTCTCTCTCTCTCTCTTATATAATAGATGGGTTTTTCAAACGTGGCACTCTGACTCAGGTTTCCCCTCCCCATTCCTCAAAGTTCCTCCCCATGGCCCCTCCCATCGGAATCCATTCCTTTTATGTCTTCCATTAGAAAACGAGCAGGCTCCTAAGGAACAATAATAAAATAAGTAGACAAGCCAAACAAATCGATTATGACAAAAGCAAAAAAACAAAACAAAACAAAAAAAAAAACCAAAAACAAACAAACAAACAAACAAAAACACAGAGCCAATCACCTCCACGAGAGTTCAGCTGAGAGCAGCGCTGGTGATCTATCTTTTCATTCTAGCCCTGTGACATTTTAAAAAAAAAAAAAATTTTTTTTTGTGGTACAGTATTATGAATTTTGACTGCTGGATGTTTTGCTTATACTATCATTTAGAATTGCCTACAATTGTACTTTTTAAATAACTGTGTTGTAGCTATGAGAATGAGCCTTTACAGACCTGTAAAAGGCTATCACAGAAGAAACCACTTTGGAACTTAAATACTGTGTACATTCTCACCTCTTCAGCAAATCACATTTAAAAAAAAAAAAAAAACAGACGCCCCAAAAGCTTTAGTTGGAACTATTTGCAAAAAATAGAAATGTCTGGCTAAAGATCTAAGGTTTGGAGGTAAAGTGTGTTTAGTCCAACTTAACACAGTAGAGTTAAGTGAAGGAATTCAGGCTGTGATTGAACCCAGAGATAAATATTTAGATACACATTTGCAGCTGGTGAGCTACTGTATACATGTATGTGTATACCCCTGGCAGATTATACAAAGCAGATTTATTAAATGTCTTTTGCCTACATTTTTATCCTGCAAACTCCTGGAACATGATTCCTTTAAACCATACCAAATAACTCAATTTTTAGATGTATGTCTATATTTTGTTGTAAATTCTTATTTTTTGTCCCGGGGTATAGAAACAAGTCCTGTTTCTCTAACAATTGTCATGAGTGAAGTGTCCTGTAGCATGCTGAAGCCTCGGATTCAAGTGTTCAGTACAAAAGTAAAGAAGCAACTGAACACACCTGTCACCTTTCTGAAAAGAAGGCCAAGTTGGTTCTCAGCAAACCCGTTCAGGTCCTGTCTCTAGCATTCTCTCATTGGTCTTTTCCAAGTTACTGAATCCTCCTCGGTTTTATTTATAAAATAGTAGTAATTATACTTCAAAGGGTGTACAGCACAAAAGTTCACAGACACATGCACGGTGTATCCATGTAAATGCACACAGGCATTCTCATTGAGAGCTTAGAATGTTGCTGTCCCCACACTGACGTTAAAGATCTTACTGATGTTTATCTTACCGTTTCTTAGGTCCCATTTCCTTTTTCTGCCATCCATGCTTGGTTTCCTCCTCTAACGTGATCACTCTAAGTCTCTTCCATTCTTTCCTTCTATTATATCCCATTTTGTTAAAGTGATCAATGCTTAACAACCTTGATCCTCTCAACGCTGCATTCATGCCTCGAAATTCTCAAGCAGTTCTCCTTTCCATTTGCCTAAACAAACCACGCTTTATTCCATTACCTCTTCTCTGCAAAACTTTAGTCATCTCTTTACAGTCTCTTGGGACTCATGCTTGTGACCATGTTCCTCTCTTGCTCAGATTTGCTTTATCCATCTTCTGGGCTGTGCTCTGTAGATTGACATGCACCAATAACATTTTTTTTTTTTTTTTTTTTTTTTTTGCTAGTGAGATAGTGGACAGTTATTTTGTGTAAAGAAAAACAAAACAAATCAAAAAAAAAAAAAAAAAAAAAAAAGAACCAAACAGATCTTGCATAAAATGTTTGACTTGGAATAACGTGGGCTCTTTTCAGAGTCTGCCAGCGTCCCTCCAGCTCCAACACAGCTCTCCGTGTCACATATTATAGAGCAGTACATATTCATCCAGAAGCCAGAAGCCATTTATATCATCCTGAAAATGGATGAAGCATAAAGTTCACCAAAATTGCTCTCATCTAAGTTGTTCTTGGGTGGTTAGAAATCTCATCAGGGAATGAAATAAGATTATCATGCAATTGTAGTATCCAAGAGAAGCCCCATTACTAATGTGGAAACTGTACAGCTAAAATTTCAAACCACAACCAAAACATGTGTTTGGAGCAATCTGATTCTCATAATAATGGCTTGTCTAGTGCTGGAAATACCCTGTCATATAAATTCTCCCCATCTCAGTTTGATAGAGTTGAGCTCATATGCAAGTCAGATAGCACAGATGACTTATTTGAATGGGTAGAAAGAACGTCATCAGATCATCAGATACTTTCCGTGTTGGAAGTGGCAATGACAGATGAGATTTCAGGGCATCACTAGGTATCTAGAAATGCCTCATTCCACAGCGCAAGAGGCCAAAATGCACCTTTATTATAGGTGTAAGCTGCACTCCCTTGTTCTCTGCAATGGAAGACATAGCTTGAAGCAAAAATCCGGCTGGTTGTTAAAAATATTTTCACTTAAAAGAGTGAATATTGAGCTAATGGAATAAAGTCTTCTTAAATACATTTTGGGTAACTCATGTGTATTATTCTCACACTTAAGACAATAAACAAATTTTCCATTATTGCTTTGAAATGGTTAGCTTTTGTTAAATTTTTGTCAAGATGGTATGTAATAGACACTTTAATCATATCACTTAATTAAAATGATACTGAAATGGTGAAAGTATCAAAGCATGTATATGTTTTATGGAGAAATATGCATATGTATATATGTATGTATGTAGGTATGCATACATACATATATGTATTCATTTACTTCTTAGTATTTAATTCAGAAAACTGCTTCATAATGATTTTGAATACCATATGAAGATGGTATTCACAAATATATTTTCAGATACCATCATAAATAAGAGGACCTGTTTTACCCACACATTAATCATATGTGCTTAATCAGGTGTATAACTTAATAAAGTACTGTTCAAGCTTTATTTTTATTTCTTAGTCTTAGACTAAGATGAAGAAACTGAAGAAACATGCTTTTTTTTTTGGTTATCTCTTTACCATAGATTTACCATAGACTTGACTTCTTACCTTGTAGAACTGTAAACATTGTAAAAATATACCCACATTTATATTTCACATTCTTCTAGAATACTGTGGAAATACCATAGTGTTCATCATTCTAATTTCACACAAACAATCAAGGAGTCTTCATTGTGTATCTGCTTTCTATTCTCCATGTTTGGCACACTGGAGGAAGAGTTCAATGAGTCCTCCCACCCCCCCCCCCCAAAAAGGGACTTAATTCTTTGAATCTGGATGGTTCATAAAAAGTTGATAATATTAGGGAAACTTATGTTGGCCCTGTACAACGTGACATATGCTTGGGTAACAGTGACATTCCCATCCCAATAACTGTGTGATGACTGATCCTCTTGTATCCAGGTTTTCCTTGGACAAATGTGTTGGTATGAAGTTAATGAAACCTGCTGACTGAAGATCTTTTTTGGCACTAATGTTTTAGGGTTCTCCCATCATGCCTTTCTAGAAGGGGATACGCAATCCCAAGAGCAACTGATCAAGCAGTCGTTAGGGGAAAGCATCCCACTCGCTCGCGGTCGAGCGAGCACTCTAGTGTCAGAACCCTGTGTTCCATGCACCACCTTGCCCCCGGAGGCTCGGCGCCACCTTCTCCGCTTCTGACAAGGTTGCTATTCAGTGTCCAGCCCAGCATTCATGTCCTGCTGCAGGGTGTTGGTGTGGTGTTGTTCCTTCCTGAGCACTCGAAGCTTTCACCCATTATGACACCATGGTTTTCTAAATCTTTTCTTTGTGGCACTTTAATCCTCTCCCACATCCTCTACCACTGGCATCTATCTTCACTGTGCTGGCAGAACCCTCTAGTTCCCGCCAGTTAGCTGCCATCGAAAACTAAATCTGGCTGTGTTCTGTCTGTTCATCTGTTTGTGGCATATCATATACACTTTGACTATGTGAAATGCTTTATGATGACTTTACCCAGAATCGAATATGTATTTGTTTATTAAGGTATGAGAGCATTTTATAAAGTAACCTTTCATATGTGTTCATGAAACCACATAGTGTTTAAAATTTCCTTTAGTTACGAAGTGTTTGAATGGCAGCAGATGGAGGTCAGCTTTTTCTGGGCAGGAATGAAGCATCTGCATGTTTCTCATATTCTCATTCCCAGTTATAATCCCCACCAGAATATCCTGTAGCATCTGTCCAAGGTTATTTGAGACACTTTTCAAGGTTTATTGTTTCTTTCTATTTTTTAAAATGCACAACTTACTGGTAACTGACTTCAGGCTGTGCATCAAGAACTTATCATTAAAAATGACTCGAAAGTACTGTGTATGAGTGTAGCTGTAGCTGTTTGGGAACATTCCTTCATGATTATTTGAAAAAAAAAAAATATATATATATATATATATATATATATATATATATATATATCCTGAGACTGTGGTCAATTCTATCATGATACTAACAAAAGTGAATGACATTAAGAGTCAAAGAAAGCGAGTCACATTCTGCTTAATTCAGAAATTCACTATGCTGGATGTATACATGCTTCCGCCAGCCTCTTATGATAGTAGTCCTTTTACATGTGTCATCTAAGATATTTGATTGTGCTTTTAATAAGCCAGTTAGAAGTTTTATGCCTGTCTTAGACTGGAAAAAGGCAAAAATGTTTTGCCAGACTGTATTGGAATTTCACCTGTCCTTTGCTGTTTGCCTACAGAACGCACCGACAAGGAAGCCCAACCCAGTCTCCTCCAGCGGACACATCCTTCAGCAGTCGCCGGGGAAGACAGCTTCCACAGGTGCCAGTGCGAAGCGGCAGTATAGAACAAGGTATCCAAAAATGAGAGATCTTTGTCCAAACACCTGGACTTAAGAAACTTGTCATTTTCACACTCCTTTTAATTAAATGACTCTTTTTTGATCATATGCAACTTTCTGAATCCTAAGAATTTAAGTTGCTTATAATTTTATCCTCAGCACCTAATTTTAGTGGCCCATGCCACATAGCAATCAGCATTTGTTGAGTAGAGTGAATGACTGAATTTAGGTGATTGTTTAACAGGGTGGGTAGAGTCCTGCCTGGATAGTTTTGCAAAGGCATAAAACTAGGTGATACACATTTTCAAAACCTAAGTACTCTCTGTTACTTTATCTATGGAAAAAAAAAGGCCTTATGCTATTTCTTTTTTAAAAAAATTATTTAAAAGTTCAGTGTGATCATTGAGTGATGCATTAGTGTTCTTCATTTTACCTTCAATGACAATATCTTGCATTTTAAATAGTTTGATGGTGAAAATTCCTCAGAACATCTATTTGTCATTTTCCTATGAGCCAAATTGTCTGAGTTTCTTACATGAAGTGTGTATAGATTGTTTTCTAAGAGAATGGCAATGTGTGTATGCATTTGGGGAAAGGGAGGAGATGCTTGCTCTGATAGTGCATGAGTGAAACATTTGAAATGCTGTATTAAAATACTATTTTTCCTGACCCGTTTCTCAGTAGGTCAATGACATCAGTATTTTCTGTTGCATTTATTACCAATACCTAAAAGAATTACAGAATTTTTCTCTAGTTCAGGGCTGGGGTTCAACAACAATGAGTATAGTAAACATCCAATGTCAATTTGCGTCCCTATAAAATATCCTGATAGTTACTTTCCTGAGTACTTCTCCAAAACTGTTGGTTGTTGCTGCTGTGAAATTCACATTTCCCTACAGATTGCATTGCCTCAGAATTGAAGTGGCCTGTGTAACCATGCAAAATGCTTGATAATAGGAATATTAGCCTCAATAAGTGGTGATGTCTTACTAATCAATACTGCGAACGGTACCATAAAAGCAACATTTACAGATGGATTTGTGTCTTTTAAAATAATGTTTCTTATTGATACAGCATGGTCAAGGATGAGGTAAATGTATACATTTAGTCAATTAGCAAAATGCAGTGTGGCTGAAAATTATTTCTAAAATGCCAGTTATCAATTGTAGAATCCACATTTCTGATAGTTTTTTTTTTTTCTGTAATGTTTTGATGTGGTGGAGAAAAGTCAAAAGTTTAAACTTTTGACAGATAGATGTTGTTTTAACTTACTCATCCATGAGCTCTTGTTGCACAACTGAACAAACTTTAAATTTGGATGCTTTACTAGAAATTCAGTGTTTCTGGTCACACGGAAACTCAGCCAATCATGTGTTCCTAAAATTCTTTGCATTTCCTCCAGTTGCAAGTAAAACACTCCATGTCATATGAGGGTTCACAGTGGGGTTATAGTAATATTTCTGCAAAAAAATTGGTTATTTTTTCGATTTCCATTCCATTGTTAACATCTACTGTTTATGATATTCATATTCACAGTTGCCTTTCAAGAAAACAACAATAAATAAGGACTGGATTGAGGTGGGAAGAAGGGAATGAGTGGGAATGACAATGTTGGAGTTATTTTGGTATTAATTATGACAAATACTTTAGTTAGCACAGTTGGTCTTTGAAGGTTCCTGAAACATTCTGATATTGGCAGAGCTTGTAGAATGGAAGAGTCATCATGGACTCAGCATTCCGAGGCATACTTCATGCTATTGATAGATGCTTTTGGGCTTGTGGTCAATGATAGTAATGTTCTCTGTCATCTCCTTATAGGTGTTTTCATACTGAACAGTTAATGTGACACATTTGTCCTTAATTATTTTGTAAAGTGTTTTGATCTGTGGGCTAGACATTACTTAGTACATTTCATTTGTGCTGCATTTCACTGTTCTTAAGGTAATATGAGTATGTGAATGCTTATCCACCTGACTTCTGGCTTTTCCTGTTTAATATCTTATGAAGGGCTGACTTAACTATTTCTAAAGTAATTCAGTTGATAAAGAGTTTTTTGGTAAGAACCAAGTATTTTCAGTGGCTTAGTTTCCTAGTCAGGGATGCAATTTCTTGATACAATCATTAATTAGCTTTATTAATACATTTTGTACATAATTACCTATGTTATTGTTTTAGGGTGTATGCAAAGAATTTTATTTGATGGGTATATTTTTTTAAAATTTTTATCAAAGATATTTATTGTATTATGAAAAGTTTTTCCAATATTAAAGACTATCATTTAAGAAGATATATTTATTGACTATTTGAAAATTATTTTAAAATTTCCTTTAAGAAATTGGAGTATGAGCCCAATACATGAAATCTGGTTATGTAAAAATTTGTGTCAGGGAAAAAGAGATGATTGCAGTACATACTTTAAAATAAAAGCAGGTTAAAATATAATGTATACTTTACTCTTAGTATCAAAAAATTGAGTTCCTTGAAATGTTTTGATTACATGCATTGATACAATATAGTTTCATTTTACATAGAGTCAGGATGAAGGTAGCCATGAGTGGTTGTGTAAAAACTGGCATTTTCTGAACAGGTCAAGTATCAGTGCTTCACTGATGCCTCTTAAAGAAGGATGTAAAGACAAACAAACAAAAGTTGAGGGCAAGCCTTGGTTCAATGTTGATTCTGCATGTAGTACTTAAAATATGAAACCATACTGACACCTTCCTTCAAATGTGAATATACTAGTTATTTTCACTAAAGAATATAACATCAATGAGGGAAATATAAACTTTTATGAAATGTCTAATACATACAGCCTGTAAATAATGAGCAATCTTATCTTGAGATATTTACTATTCATTTGAGGAAAAGTGAAAGACTACTTAGATTGGCATATATCTTGTTCACACAGAAAGTAGTATAGATTTTTCCATGGTGTAGGTTATTTGCTTCTATTCAATAGAAAAATAACTGGGATTAATCACATGAAATTTCAAATTATACAATTTTACAATTAAAGTTTCTGTATAGATTAAGTATGCTTTCAGTATCACTACAGTGTAGGACAGTGGTGGATTTAAATTACAAGATTTTAGTAAAATGTTGCAAAACTATACAGTTCTTAAAAGTGAAGGAAAAATAATTGTAACATATGCATTGGGGGAATATCAAACAAGTTATTTTCCTGATATTTTTCTTTTGTTTAAATCTTTGAATTGCTGTATTCATTTTTGAATTAATTTCAATACCATATGTGAAACTTTCTCATGGTTTATCATTGCAGTTTACCATGTCACCTTATGTGTTATACATTTTTAGTATTCATGCCATTTTGTTAATTCACATTTCCATGTCTAACTATAAATTTGCTGATTTCTTTCTTTTGTTTCCATCATCATGTGCATTTAATTCATTGAAGAACAAGAAAAATATAACTCTTCCACTAAAGGTAAATATTAATATAATTTTTAACATTCATACTGTTCCTTTTATAATATTTAAGGGTTATGCCACTATTGGAATAAATACCAAAATTATTTAATAGGTAGTTATGTCTCTGAAGTGGTTGTGCCACTTATTAATTCTTTCATATTACACAGTTAGATTAAGGTGGAAAACTTAAAACTAAGTAGTGCTGATGCGAAATTCAGTTATCTACATTGCTAGCTAAAACAATTTTGTAAGCTAATAATGTATATCTTACATGATAATATTTTCTTTTGTCATAGGGATTCATGACATAGTCTTTGTTTCTTCTTGAATTTCCTTGTATTGTTTCTATTTTCTAGCTATTATAGATATGTGATTTGATTCTGATTTTCCAATATCCTCTCTGGCTAACAACTACTATGCAAAATAGAAAGTCCCTCTGTTTTATTGTCTGCATAGCATGAGCTTTAGGAACTTTCAAATTTCACTGCCATCAGTTATGTTTAGAGCAGCCTATCTTAGTTCTCTAGGCTTCAAGCTTGTTTTATTATTAATCCTGTCTATCTGAGGGATACAGGAAGTAGAATTCATCCAGCCCACTCTCCTGGAAAGGCTCCGGCCTCTTCTCTTACTTTTTAATCAAAAATTAATTTTTGATCTTTGCACTTAAATTTCAAGTGAGTTTCTGGCTTCCACCCTTAACTTTTGTACTGCTCACATCAACACATTTCCAGAATTACTCCTGGCCTGGTGACTAAATTCTTGAATATGAATTTATAAATCAGTATGGTAGTATTTTAATGATACTTTAGTTGTGTCATGTTTGTAGGTATTTCCATTGGATATTTAAAAGCAGTTTGAATTAATTTGTACATTTTAGACCTTTCAAAGCCTGTCAGGATCTCTGTCCTTGGGGATGGAAAGATGTCTCAATGCTCAAGAATGGCTTTTGGTCTTGAAAACGCCTGAGTTCCATTCCCAGAACTCATGTCAAGCCGCTAAAAACATCTGTAAGTCTAGTTTCAGTGACCCAATTCACTCACCTGAACTCTGTGTGTACCTGCACACAAGTGGTACACATACACACAGAAAGGCACACACACACACACAAATAAAAGATCCCTGCCCTTTACTACTTAGCAATAGCAAAGGACGAAAGAGTGTATTCTTACACACTTTTTTTTTTTTGCACTACATTTTGAAATTCTTTTTTTTTAATAAACTCAAATGCCAAGTGCATTTTTTATAACTCTTAATATACCTAGGTATGTTTCAAATCTTAGTATGGGAGAGAATATTGAATTCTGTCTAGTTTGAAGTTATACGTGATAGAATTATATGTCTGGCACATGAGGTACACATATGAGCATATACTATTTGACATACTAGGAACAATTAGTAACTAAAGCGGAAGGCTCTTCAACAAAATTAATAAGCTGTTATCTTAGCTTTTAATAGGCACATGGCCACCTTGTATTCTTAATAAAGATATGAGACACAAAATATTCAATAGGACAAAATAACCAGTGTGTTTTTTCTTAGATTCAGAAGACTATTGCTAGATTTTCAAGTTAACAATGTGGTAA